ACTTCTTACATTCAGCATAATTATTTGAGGGATGTAACCATGTTTTCATGTGTGTTAGTAGTTGATTCCTTCTCATTGACAAGGGGTATTCCATTACATGGCTGTTCCACAGTTGGATTTATCCACTCACTGGCTAGTGAACATTTCTGTTGTTTCTAGTTTGGGGCTATTATAAATAAAGATGCTAAACATTTACATGTAAGTCCCTTGAGTAAATACCTAAGACTTGAAGTATTGGGTCATTTGATAGTTGTATGTTGAACTTTTAAAGAAATGGCCAAACTATTTTCAAAAGTGGTTGTACCAGTTTACATTTCCACCAACATTACATGAAAGTTGCAATTACTGCACAACTTCACCAGCATTTGGTATAGTCAGTCTTTATAATTTTAGCCATTCTCATAAGGGTGGCATGGTGTCTTATGGTGATTTTAATTGGCATTTTCCTAATGATTGCTAATATTGAGCATCTTTTCATGTGCTTATTTGCCATGGTTATGACAATTGTAATGTCTTCAAATCTTTCACCCATTTTTTATTGAGTTTTTTTTTCCATTTGTTTAGTTTTGAGAGTTCTTTATGTTTTGATACAAGTACTTTATCTGAATTATGATTTACAAAAATTTTTTTCCTAGTGAGAAGGCTTGTCTTCATTCTTTTAGCAGTATAATATGAAGGCAGATGTTCTTAATTTTGATGAAGTCTAATTTGTCCTTTTTTTAATGAATCATGCTTTTTCTCTGTGTAAAAAAGAAATGTTTGTACAACACAAGGTTATAAAGATTTTCACCTTTAGTTGTATAGTCTGCATCTTGTTCTATGATCCATTTTCTCTGAATTTTTGTATAGGGTATAAGATATGGATCAAAGAATTGGTTTGGATTTTCTGTTTCTGTTTTAGCATCTGGGTGTCCAGTTTTTCCAGCTCTGTTTGTTGAAAAGACTGTTTCTTTCATTAGATTTGGAAATTGTTTTGATTGTTTCTACTTCGAATATTTTTTCTGTTCCTCAGTTTCTCCTACCCTTTGGTGATATATGAGTTATTCATGTTGGGCTCCTTGAAGTTGTCCCATAGCTCACTGATACTCTCTTCATTTATTCAGTCTTGCTCTCTCCCACTTTTTATGTTGGACAGTTTCTGTTGCAATGTCTTCACACTTATTCTTTTTTTCCCCTAAGATGTCTAATCTGCTGTTAATCATATGTGGTATGCTTTTCATCTCAGGTATTTTTGTTTTCATCTCTAGAAATTTGACTGAATCTTTTTTTCTTTATATCTGCCATGTTTCTACCTAACATGTTGAATCCTTCCTCTAGCTTCTTGAACATACGCTACAATATGTAAAGTTAAAAATAACTATTTTAATGACCTTGCCTTCTAATTCAGTCCTATTTGTCATTTTTGTGTCACTCTTCACTGGTTTATTTTTCTTTTCTCCATATTTTAGATTGTATTTTCCTGCTTATTTGCATGTCTGGTTATTTTTGATTGGCTGCCAAAACTGAATTTTATCTTGTTGAGTACTGGATATTTTGTTATTCTTAGAAATATACTCAAGCTTTGTTCTAGAATAGTTAAAAGGGAGCACTCAGACCCTTTCAGATTTTGTTTTATAAGCTTTGTTAGGTGAAACCAGAGTAAGACTAAGTCTAGGGCAAAACTCTTTTGAATACTGAGTTCTTGATGAATTGTGAAGTTTTTTCACTCACAATGGTGATAGAAACTGTTTGATGTTACATGACCTTCTGATATCTTTGCCCGTTAATGCTGCTCTTTACCTGATTAGTATTCAGCTGAACCTGGAGGGAGTCCTCTGCAGTTCTCAAGTTCTTTTTCTGTGCAGACTTTCCTTACGGTTGCTCTGTTCTGTGCACTCTGGCCACTTTGATGGCCCTGGTCACTCAGCTCATCTCCTCAAGGTGGAGACCATCAGTCTTCTACCCAGAGTCCCCCTTCTTGCATTGCACCTGGAAGCTTTCTCTGCAGTTAGTTGGGGTAGAGGTAAAGTTCATCTTGTTTGTTTCCATTTTTTAAGGATCATTGTCTTTGTAGTCTGATGTCTCAACAAACATTTCATACATTTTGTCCAATATTTTAGTTGTCTCAGGTTAGAGAATGGTCCTTGGTACTTCATTTTAGTCAGAAGGGGGAGTCATTTTACCTTTACTTTCATTACCGTAGAACTTAGTTTTCATTTAGAAGGTTCTAAAAGTCAAGAAGTAGGAATATGTATTCAGTTGAAATCTCTCTCCTAATCTACTACCAGTCTAGTCCTCACTTCCTATTGTTAAACAATTAGATTGCTCCCAATCTCTTTTGATTAAGAAATAATAGTTAATAATCTCCTATGTAAGTCATTTTGCATATATCTGAGTAACACTGCTATTGAGTACATCTCCAGAGATGGATTACTAGGTCAGAGGGTTTTTGTAATTTTGATAGCTGTTGGTTGCTAAATTGGCCTCTCAAGGGATTAAATCAGTTCTTCCACCAACCTGTTAGGACTGTGGGCCAACTGGCATTTTCCTGTCTACAGCATGTTGTCAGATATTTGGATTCCTGCTAATGTGATGGGAGGAAAATGTACTATAATATAGCTTTAATTTGTATTTCTACTCTGAGTGAGGTTGACATTGCTTCCTGGTTTAAAAGCCACTTTCTTTTTTCTATTCCATCTCCTTTAGATTGTTGATCATTTAGTTCTGTTAGTGACTAGAATATGAGACTGAAATATATTAGCAGGTTGTGTTTAGTCACTTCTTAACCAATTAACAGTTAACATCCATAGCTTATTAGTGAAACATTTTAAAATGTGCTTAATAAAATATAATTGTACAAAATCTAGTCAAATCTCTATGATTTAAAGTCCATTGCAAAATGTTTCAATCAAAGGTTAGGGTTAATTGATTTTTCAGACAAATTTTCAAAGGTCAGAGTAAAACTAATATAATCTGAGTGTTTGGAGCATGAGAGTAATGTCCCAAAACTAATTTGGTTAATGAAAAAAATAAGAATTGTTTCTTCTAGAAATCATTTACATTTGAGAGATGTGGTTTGTTTCACAAATGAGGACATTTCCAGCACCATTTGATGGGAGTAGAGAAATGAATATTTGAATTGGACTGAGAATGTCTAAGCCTTTTGTTACAAAGTATATTCTGACTCACAGATAAGACAAATAGACACATTCATGGTTAGATGATAGGATCCTCTTACTATTCGTCCAGTACAGCTTTTATGAGAAATAAGGAGTATCCAAGTTTTTTTTTTTTTTTACAACTTTTACATATCCCTCCTTTATTTCTACCTCATCTCCACTAACTTTTGCTTCTATCATTTATAATTTTCAGGTATTATACCCTTTGGACATTTAATTAGGGAAGTAGTTGCTTTACCAAGTGAATGAAATGAAAATGGGCCAGTAGTTTGTTTATATTTTGTTTATTTATTATCAGTTTAAAGTCTGGCTTTATTTATGCAATGAAAAATATATTTTTAGAGTTGCATCAATATGGAGAGGCATCCAGCACACGTCCGTCAGGTATGGTGTCATTGAAGGACATTTTGTGGTACTCCTTGTTTCTGTCTTTTTAGCCAACTAAATTTACCTAATTACACTTAATCATTCTGGATTTTTTCCATTGCCAAACCACTGAGCTGCATGCCATTGTCAAGTTAGCCAGTTGTCACATTTTAGCAGTCATAATGCTGTTTGTATGCTTGCTTTGTAGATATTTCTAAAATTGTGTATCAGGGAAAAAATTACTGGCTTGCTGATTTTTTTTAAGCATTAATATTTAGCCTTTCAAAAGTTATTGAAAATATTCTGAATGTTTTCTATCAAAATCATCTAATTGTAAATAACTAAAATTTTGTTATGTTTCCAAATTTAATTATTTTTAAATTATTTTAATATGCATCCATCACATTACATTTTACTACACTAATAATGTAATTGATCTACTTGTGCTATTTGAATATGCTATTTGGTTATATTTATAGAAGTATGATAAACATAGGAAAGTAACATTATTATTTTGACTATGTGCTTTCCTGCTCGTTAGTTTATCTGCTGATTAATGCTTAGTTCTCTAGAAGACAAAATTTAAATTTCTGTAAGTATGCCTGGAAAAGGTCTGTAGTAAGAAAGTAATTAGTCTGAACTTGCCATTGAATACTGAAAATGCTTAACTAGAATTCAAAATTAAATAAACTAAATACTTTGGATATTGGAAATCATAACTAACGATGGTAACTGACATAGTTTTATTATTAAAACAGATTTAAAAGAAATTTGCATAGTTACATGAATTTAAATTGGAAAATAGCTTCAGGGCTATTTTAGTATTTGTCTTACTATTAATTTGATGCTGATTACTTACATCAAAGCAAGATAATTCCAGAAAAGTATTTTCCTCACAACTTTTGGCCATGTGAATCTATGTGACTAAAAATATGTGTTTTTACCATGGATGAAAGTTTGTCTTTTTTAAAAAAAGATTACTGACTATATTTCAGGTCTGATTTCAACATGAACCTTTATTATTTAATTTTGGCTTTAGGAACCTTTCAAAAAGTCATTACTACTATATCTGAAACTTATGACCTAACTGCATATATTAGTTCAGGATGTTAATTAGAAAGTGGCATTTACTTGCATAAAAATTATGCACTGTTGGTTGGACAATCATGTGAAAAGATTGGGAGAAAGTGAGAAAGCAAGAAAGGTGGAAGAAAGCAGTTGTTAAACTGTTAAGATTAGAAGTTAAAGATAGAAACAAAAATCTAATGTAGTATTAATGTTTATTTCCTGTTTTGTTTTCTGATGCCAAATTATTGATGTGCTAATAACTTTATATTTAAAAACAAGTTCCTTAGTTGAAGTACTAAATACATTATCATTTACATTATCAATTAAATCACAGTGCTTTGAAAAAGATTTCCAAAATCCAGTGACAGATGGTGCATTTCTAGTATTTTTAATTATGCTGTGTTTTAGGTATTTGTGAAATGTCATTTTGATTATAATCCATACAATGATAACCTGATACCCTGCAAAGAAGCAGGATTGAAGTTTTCAAAAGGAGAAATTCTTCAGATTGTAAACAGAGAAGACCCAAACTGGTGGCAGGTTAGTACACTTCTCAAAATTTCTTCACCTGCTTTCTTATTTTCAATCTTAGATCTGACCAATTTCTGAATATTCAGGAGGAAAGTATTTTTATTTGTTCCAGTGATTTTTTTTTCCCCCGCATGAACAGCTCCCACTTCGTGGCTATTAATTTTGTGGACAGAAGACCAAATTGAGAGGGACTTTGTGAGTAGCTGTTAATAAAGTCAGTATTAACCAGCCTGTGGTTTAGAGACTAGACCAGTCGGTTCTTCCACATAAGATTACAGTAAAATATAGTACTCAGCAGGAACAGCTCATCTGAGGTCATCCTTTTCAGTGTTTGTTTTAACTAGGAGTCTTTACTGTGGGTGGAGTAGTGTTCCTCTTGTCTCCTCTCACTGTATGTACGTTCATGACAAATAAAATTTAATTTCTCTAATTCTTGAATCTATTTGCCCACCTCAGTTACTGAGAGTTAAAGGTTTGCTTTATCATCTGTGTTGTTTGGTTTTGGATTAAAACCTGTGTATATAGAAAGGGGTGTGTGTTACCACTGTCTATTCCCCCTCCATTTTTCAGATAGTCTTCTTGTTTTTCCTTTCCACTAATACGGTTTTCAGAAGTCTCTAGCAGCCATAATAAGTCTGTTTTTGTAATTGTTTACATAGACTAACAACCAGAACCGGACAAACAAAGTCTAAAATTCCTTAAAGTGTCAAAGTAAAAGAGAGTCTCCTTAAGGAGCAAGATGTGAGAGGGAAGGACCCAGGGTCCACGCTGAACTCTGACTCAAACCTAGATGTTAGTAACTCGGGGCTCCCCTGCTGGCTCAGAGTGCAAAGAACCCGACTGCAGTGCAGGGGACCCAGCTTCAGTTCCTGGGTTGGGAAAGGCTCCTGGAGAAGGGAATGGCAGCCCACTCCAGTATTCTTGCCTGGAGAATTCCATGGCCACAGGAGCCTTGCAGGCTACAGTCCATGGGGTCAGAAAGAGTCAGATACCACTGAGCAACTAAACAGTCATTCAGTTCAGTCAGTTCAGTCGCTCAGTCATGTCAGGCTCTTTGCGACCCCATAAACTGCAGCACGCCAGGCTCCCCTGTCCATGGAATTTTCTAGGCAACAATACTGGAGTGCATTGCCATTTCCTCCTCCAGGAGATCTTCCTGATGCAGGGATAGAACCTGCCTATCTTGTGTCTCCTGCATTGGCAGGTGGGTTCCTTACCAGTAGCACCCCCAAACTTTTTCTATGAAGGACTAGATAATAAATATTTTAGGATTCATGGGTNTACAGCCTTGACATACTCCTTTTCCTATTTGGAACCAGTCTGTTGTTCCATGTCCAGTTCTAATTGTTGCTTCCTGACCTGCTCAAATTAACTCTAATAAGTTATATTGACTTCTGAGGGGGGATGAATTATAACAATAAGAACAATCTTACTAATATGCCCTTCAAGTTAAGACATTATAATGTATAAGTGTACTATGTGGTGAGAGAACTAAGAAATGAGTAAACGGAATCCATGAGTTCAAGAGGTTTCAACTGAATTTCTTAGAACTCTCATCTAAAAATATCTGCTTTCTATGGGCAGTTTCCTTTGTTGAACTTTCCCAAGTTTCTTTTTCCCCCCTTCTCTCTGAATGCCATCCCTTAGTTTTCTTCTAACCCTGTCAGCATTATCTGTCTCTTCCCGAATTTTTGTCATCTGTTACTCAAAATGTATTTTTCAAGATTTTAATTGCTAAAAATAATACTGGATTTTTCTGTTCTAGTTGTAAGGGTAAAGTCACTAACATTGTGCGATAAGCCAGTATCTCTAGTAGCCAGTTCTCCAGCCACTGTTTTGAAATACTTTGGGTTTCAGTTTAAAAGTTAGGTTTTTTTAATTAATTTATTTTTTATTGAAGAATAATTGCTTTACAGAATTTTGCTGTTTTCTGTCAAACCTCAACATGAATCACCCATAAGTATGCATATATCCCCTCCCTTTTGAACCTCCCTCCCAACTCCCTCCCTGCCCCACCCCTCCAGCCCGACACAGAGCCCCTGTTTCATTTTCCTGAGGCATACAGCAAATTCCCACTGGCTATCTATTTTACATGTGGTAGTGTAAGTTTTCTTGTTACTCTTTCCATACATCTCACCCTCTCCTCCCCTCTCCCCATGTCCATAAGTCTATTCTCTATGTCTGTTTCTTCACTGTTGCCCTGTAAATAAATTCTTCAGTACCATTTTTCTAGATTCCATATATATGTTAGAATATGGCGTTTATCTTTCTCTTTCTGACTTACTTCACTCTGTATAGCAGTCACAGGTTCATCCACCTCTTTAGAACTGAGTCAAATGTGTTCCTATTTATAGCTGAGTGATATTCCATTGTGTATATGTACCACAACTTCTTTATCCATTCATCTGTCAATGGACATCTAGGTTGCTTCCATGTACTAGCTATTGTAAAGAGTGCTACAATGAACAGTAGGATACATGAGTCTTCTTCAATTTTGGTTTCCTCAGGGTATATGCCTAGGAGTGGGATTGCTGGGTCATATGGTGGTTTTATTCCTAGTTTTTTAAGGAATCTCCAGACCATCTTCTATAGTGGCTGTATCAATTTACATTCCTACCAACAGTGCAAGAGTATTCCCTTTTCTCCACATCCTCTCCAGCATTTATTGTTTGTAGACTTTTTGATGAGGGCCATTCTGACCAGTGTGAGGTGATATCTCATTGTAGTTTTGATTTGCATTTCTCTAATAATGAGCGAAGTAGGTGACGTTTTACCCGTTTTAAACTTACTGTCCCTCTCAGGATATTCAGATTCCTGGCAGCATGAATTAAACCCTCCACTCTGTTCTCCCCGTGCTGTCTTCCCGCCCCCCGCCCCACTTTGATTTGGCCTCAGGAAAAACCATTGTAGTAGGATTAATGTGATAGTAAACACCTAACTAACAAGTGCTAACACAGAGAACAGTATTTATTCCTTTCCATTCCCACTAGCTTACTATTATAAATAAAAAGCTATTAGTAATTTAAACATCCTGTATGCTTTTGTATTTTGGTCTCAAAATTTCATTACTAGCTGGCACTCTGGTTAGGAGTCCATTGATTCCTCAGTAGTAAGGTCTTTCAGTATCCTGACAGTACCATGGACTTATATATCAAGGTCCATTTCTTAAGAGCAAATTTTTTTTAACTGACTACTGCTTGTCCTGCTTATTAGAATGTCTCAAATTTTAGTCACTGATACATACAATTCATTAATTTGATTCTAGGCTAGCCATGTAAAAGAGGGAGGAAGTGCTGGCCTCATTCCAAGCCAGTTCCTGGAAGAGAAGAGAAAGGCCTTTGTTAGAAGAGACTGGGACAATTCAGGTGATGAACTCAACACAATAATAAGTAACAAGTAGCCATTTGTGGCCTCGGTTTTCTTGCCTCTTTCATCTGAATTAGCAGATGAATGTATTTAAAATATACCTAGAATCAATATCTGCTTCATTGCATCACTCTCAAAAGTAAACTTTTTGATCCCTTTCTGCCACCTGCTGGTATTACATCAGAATTCAGTGGCTCAGCTCACCCCTGCCCATTTCTGCTCTGTAGGATGCAACCCTGGGAAGATAATTCTCCCAGCCCTATAGAATGCTACAGGGCAGTGTATATGTTCTGACATGCCGTTTAAGTTATATTTGCCTTGTCATTCTTCAGGACCTTTTTGTGGAACCATAAGTAGCAAAAAAAAGAAAAAGATGATGTATCTCACAACCAGAAATGCAGGTATGTTTTAAATACTTTTTTGAGAAGTCCAAGTGAACTATGAAATAGCTTTATCATTAGTCAATGTGGCATACGTTCTAAATGTATAATTTTAAATGAATTAGTTCATATTAGTACCCGATTGCAAGGAACTGCGATGTGGACACTCAGTGCAGTAACATGTAGGCATTATTTAAATCCTGATATACATGCTTGTACTATCACCAGTGTGCTTTATTTTATGAGCATAATTTACAATGAAATGAATTGCTTAAGATTTATGCTTGTATTAATGAAGGAACAATGTGACAATTGAAATTATTTTTTTAAGAACTTTGACAGGAATTTATGTGTTATTTCTACAGAACAAAATCCATTTTTATGACTATGTTAAGTGTTATGATTAATGGCAGACGTATTCCACCATAACATTGTCCATGATACTTTTGGAGAAACAGTACTGGACCAAACAAATCTTAGCCTGATCTAATAGGATTCTTTCTTAAATTTTTTAGATTTAAAGACAGATAAATATGACACCTACCAGTTACTCTTTTCAGTTGTAGAGGCTGCTAAGAGTGACATGCAGCTCTTTGAATCAGAAGGCTCTGGAGACTCTGACTCAAAGACTCAAAAGAACTGATCATTATAAAGTGCTTTCTGGACTTTAGAGCTTCCTCTATGCTGGTAATAAAATAAACAGCACACTATAAAGAAAATAATGACATATTGCAATAATAATAATAATATAATAAGGGGGAAATAGACTCTCCCTTAACCTACTGTGGAGAAATTGTACAAAGAAAGTGTTGCTATTCAGATAATGGCTAAGGAAGAAGCGTTGCTACTATAGGTTGAGAGTCGTAGCCATAATAATAGGTAACATAATACTTCAGGTTCTCTTTGTCTTTATTATTCATTAAAAACATATACTTAAAGCTTCCTTGCAAAATGGAACATTTTTCATTTTCCCATTGGTTGTAATTTTGGAATGTGTTTCTACTGAAATGTTTATTTTATCAACGTTTTATTTTATACGTAAACTTAGAATCGTAACATTTAAATGTTATTATGTTACCTGTATGCATTTTATTAGTCAAACTGATATTTGCAGAGTTTGCCACACAATCTTTATTCATTTATATCATTGGAAGGGGTACTCATTCTATGAAACTTAGTTAAGCAGCTACTCTAGGTATACGGCTATCCTTTTTGATATGCACTTTTTAGTGGAATAGATTACATAAACTAATTTGCAATTTGATTATATTAACTAATTATTTCTACTGATGAATTGCAAAGAAGCAAGTTTTATTTTTTTTTAATTAATTTATTTTTTTTATAGGCTAATTACTTTACATCATTACAGTAGTTTTTGTCATACATTGAAATGAATCAGCCATGGATTTACATGTATTCCCCATCCCAGTCCCCCCTCCCACCTCCCTCTCCACCCGATCCCTCTGGGTCTTCCCAGTGCACCAGGCCCGAGCACCTGTCTCATGCACCCAATCTGGGCTGGTGATCTGTTTCACCCTAGATAATATACATGTTTCAATGCTGTTCTCTTGAAACATCCCACCCTCGCCTTCTCCCAGAGTCCACAAGTCTGTTCTATACATCTGAGTCTCTTTTTCTGTTTTGCATATAGGGTTATCATTACCATCTTTCTAAAGTCCATATATATGTGTTAGTATACTGTAATGGTCTTTAATGGATAGAATATCTTATAAGGACAAATCAAGGACACTTTTTTAGCTTTGTTAGATTTAAGGCAAAAGGATGGAAGCAGATGTTTAAATCAGAATACAAAATAATTTATTGTACTTTACCAAATTTATTTTTAAAAATCTACGCTAAGTCAGTACAGTTCAAGTGATACTTCACTATCAAGACAGCTAAAACATCACTGAACAGAAGTGAATATGATGTTTCCCTATTTCCTTACATTTAGAATTCGATCGTCATGAAATCCAGATATATGAGGAGGTAGCCAAAATGCCTCCCTTCCAGAGAAAGACGTTAGTATTGATAGGAGCTCAAGGTGTGGGACGGAGAAGCTTGAAAAACAGGTTCATAGTGTTAAATCCCACTAGATTTGGAACCACAGTGCCATGTAAGTCTTCTGCATTTCCTTTGCTATTTGATTTGGAAGGAAAGGATATGTGTGTGTTGGTGGGGGGTGAGGGGGTGGGAAATATTATTTTATTCCCAAGGAATTTCTGATTATGCCAATGGAAATGAACGCGCAAATGATACTGAAAATCTCGACAAGTCTACAGCTGTCTTGAAATAGCCCTGTAGCCTCTGTCAGCTTGCTGCTTGGTGGCAGTCACCTCTCCAGACTCCTCAGTCCGGTAATGTTCCCTAAATGCGGGTATTAAGAGTTGTGGCAAAATTAGCATTAGCTTTGTATTTTCTTATATGATTGACATATATCTGAAAAGTTGTGTTTTTCACTTATTTTATTGTAAAGGAAAGGGGGAAAGATGCTGAATCCTCTGACATTCCCAGTGTCACAGTCCCTTTGTGAATTTGTGTGGTCTGGCTTGTAGGTCTCATTCCTGCAAGGTCATGAGCCTGCTTTTTTGATAGCACATTAAAAGAGAGTCTTCTTCCAGAGCATGCAAGATTAATTAAGGTCACATATTTATTTATGTATAAAATACATGATGGGAAGTACAAGCATTAAGTGAACCAAACACTCATTTTATGATCTTTGCATTCTTTCTCCATTCATACATTTACAAGGAAAGTTAAATAATGTCAGAAGCATGCTTGATGAGAATGGAGTTAGAGCAAGGAGTTAAATGCCTTGTTGTAAGGACGACTATACATGTGTCTTCATGTCTTCATTTTGGAGATATATGAGCCTTATGGGAACTTACCTCTTCCCTGAATATAAGCCATTTTTGCCTTTGTAACTCCCCTTCCTGTGCTTCCATTGCTGACAAGCCCCCTTTTGATTCACACAGGATTTCTGTAGATATTTTAATTCCTTTAAGCTTTGCAAGTCAGGTTTTAGCCTGACATCACTCCATCTCTTTCGGATGAGTTTTAGGGTGTCTCTCCCTTCATCCAGTATGCTTAGACATTCAGTTCTCAGTGAGTAATCCTGTTGCTAACATTCTTAGGGGTGTATTGAGGGAATAACCCTCTCACTGTCCCCGTGTGTTGTTTGTAATTCCTTTAGGGTTTGAGTTGCATTGTATGCACTGTAAATCAGTAAATCAGACAAATCCTAGTTAAATAGTTTACAAAATAAAAATCTCACTGTGACCAGAGTATTTTAAAGTATTTTGTTTTCTATTTTTATCAAATTAATGCATGTAGCATATTTTAATTAAGTAGTTCTTAAAAATATACAATGAAAAATAACCCCATCTTCTTCTACCTAGTTACCAGAAACACTTTTCAGTCTTTCTGGTATTTCTTCTGTTAGTCCTCCATATGTTTTAATATCTTCATCCTGCTGTTTCTTGCTCTATCTAATGTAGGCCTTATCTACTCTCTTCCTGAGTGTCCTCCCAATGTAAATATAGCTCTAGTTTCAGTTAATTCAGTTTCACTTTCTTTTTTTTTGTTGTTGTTCAGTTTCACTTTCTTGAACAGCCTTGTGCTCTTCCCCAACCCAGCAATTTCTAGAGTTCTTTTTTTTCTTCCCCTCATTTTACCTTGCCTTATGTATTCATGCATGTAGTTTTGTTTTAAAACAAAGACTGGCTTATTCAGTTAAGTCATGCATTTTTCTTGGAGACCTCAGTCTCACAACCCTCAGTCTTCCTGCTTCAGTGAGGACTACACACAGTCCTCTCTGGCTATCCCACGTTAGCATGGGGATGTTTCCGTTTATTGTTGTCCTGAGTTGAAGCTGTGGTTCCTGGGTCCCATTCTTTTTCTTTCTTGTTTTATTGCATTGTTTTGCTATGGCACATCACTTGCAACTTGACAAGAAATGTTTTATGGATGTAAATTTTGGATCTTTTGTGTTTGAAGTTGTATGTTTTTTGCCCTGTATTTGACTGACTGATAATATAAAGTCAAAATTGTGATACTGAAAAGATGTTAGTCTTGAATCCAATTTGGTTAAGAAGTCTGTTGTTCAGTCACCAGGTCGTGTTTGACTCTTCGTGACCCCATGCACTGCGGCACACCAGGCTTCCCTGCCCCTCGCCATCTCCCAGAATTTGCCCAAGTTCATGTCCATTGAATGAGTGATGCCATCTAATCATCTCATCCTCCATTGCCCCCTTCCCCTTCTGCTCATTCTTTCCCAGCATCAGGGTCTTTTAAGAGGTCTAGGACGTCATTCTAATTTTTGTTCTTTCATAAATGACCTGATTTCTCCTTCAGAGTCTTTTTATTTTGTTGGTTTTCATTATCTTCTTATAATGATGTGCCTTTGTGTGCATCTATTTTTATTCATTGTGCTGATGATTGTGGTTCTTCAGACTAGAAATTCATGTTCTTCTATTCTAGGGAATTATGTTTCTTAGATTATTTCTCTTTGTTTTCTGTTTTGACTTTTTCTAGAATTTCTATTAGCTAGATGTTGAATATCCTGAATTTATCTCTTTGGTCTCTTACTTTTCATATTGTCCAGCCTTTTATCATTTTATTCTACTCTTTAAAAGATTACCTTGAATTCTTTATCTTCTGTCTCATCAATATTTATTACAACTAGTCATAATTTTCATTTTAGGATTATTTTCTGTTTCCTGTTTGATTTTTTTTTCCCATAGCACTATCTGTTTCTGGGAACTATCTTTGCTGTATCTCTAAGAATATTAAATACTGAGTGTAATTCTTTTTTATGTTTCTGTTGTATAGGATTATTAAAATATTCTGGAGATAAATAATGGTAATGGTTGCACAACAGTGTTAATGTACTTAATGCCACTGAATTGTGCACTTAATAATGGTTAAAATGATAAATTTTATGTTATGTATATTTTATCATGATTAAAAAACCCTAAAAATTAATCATATTAGCTTCTTAATATTCTAGTATATAAGTATACCATGCTTTATTTAGCCCTCTCTGTTATCATCCATTTACATCCATTTACATGGTTTGGGTGGCATTTTTGTTACAAGTAACTAAAATGTGTATATGTAAATTTCAGATATAAAATTAGTAGACCAAAGGATATATATATAGAGAGATTTATACATAGAGAAGTATAAATATATTTATTTCATCTTGCTTTCTTCATGCCAAATTAATTTACAGAAAAATATACTATTTTCCCTTTCAACAGATTTATTTTTAGTAAATGTAAATATTCATATCTGAATTTTTATATAGAATGATGTATGTATATCCATACATCAACTCTCACCTTGTTACATGATGTTGGTGTGTCTTACTTTTCTTTAAATCATTCACATTTATATAACATCTAGTTTTTATTAAGCTTCAGAATTAACACACACAATATTGATGAAGTGTGACAAGTTTGCTTAACTTTTGATACATACTCTTGTGCTACACACTGTCTGGTGGTCTGGATGGGGAGGTCTCATAGGGAAGGAGGTAAATACTGCTGTTAGATTAAGTTGATTTAATTTTCTTTATATATTATATGATCCGGAAATAAAATATTAAAAATTATTAATCTAGGTGGCTAAACTACCTTACTAATTATGTTTTCTATTTACTATATCTTGGGATAGTTAACAAATGTTACTTTGTTGCTTATTTCCTCACTATATGAAGAGCTGCTAAAGATCAGAATTTTAGTAAACAATTTTACAATAAGTAAATTAGTTACTTATCATAAAAGTCTAAGGAATCAGCTATAGTCAAGTCACCCTGATCTAATTTCTCTTTTCTAAAAATGGAAAAAGAATTATGTGGAAACTTAGATTGTGTGTGTGTGTCCACTAGAGAATGGTATTGTCGTTAAAATTCACTTGCAAACCAAAAACATATCACCAATAATGTGAGATTCTCTCCATGTGATGGAGGTAGTGGTAGAGGCAGTGTGTGTGTCTGTATATATTATTTCAAGCAGCACATTCCCATATGTGGTTTCACTGTAGTGCATCACCAAGTCATACTCTTCTAAAATTATCTTCACAGATACTAAGCCAAGTCCTAGCATGTATGTATTTGGAGAAATTAAAATTGCCTTAAAAATTTTATCATACAACTTTTGGTAAAGAATTCCAGGAACATTAGATAGTATACATTTTTGAATATGAAAAGTAATTGTAGCATTTTGGAGCTCTTTAAGTGACTTCATAAATCTCTCTACAGTAATCTGGGATGAGCCAGAAAACAGCAGGGGGAAAAGGGAATCATCTTGTACATAATGATCTCATTTATCAATTAGACCCTTGTTACTGAGCTTGAACTTAAAGTTTTGTTCTTATAAAAGTTTTCTTGGTGTGTTACAAATAGTCCAAATACTGACTGTCACTTTTTCATCTGTTTACTTTCTAACTTTAATTGCATATGGTTAATGATTTCCTCAGATATTCTGCTTATGTAAGTACTTGACTAATAGAAGTAGAATTTTTTTTTTTAATCTGATGTAGCCAAACTCAGATTAAGGTTAAATTTGAATATACACACACACATACACAAGTTACCTTTCTTCCTAGGGAGTTCTAGCAAGTTGGCAGAGAGTACCTAACTGCATCTTTGCAACAATTTGAAAGGTGATAATTATCCATTCCTAGCACAACCAGGTTGCAAAGGAGTTGCATGTTTCTCAGATATCAGATAAAAGGATCTTTGACTTGATCTCCTTTCTCTCATTCTCTCAGAAAGAATATTTCAGGTCGGAGAAAGTAGAGTATAGTAACATCCAGGTGGCTAGATCTACCACTGAGGTGCAAAACAAAACAATTAACATTTGGAAATGTCAATTAGAAGGAAGCTAGAAGAAAGGTGTGGTACTAGGGTGAGATAAAGGATAGACAACTTGTGGGTAAAACTACACTTCAGAAAATTGATAATACCAACTAAGAATAGAACTTTGCTCACTTGTTGGACTTGCAATTAGGCAATGTTAAAGTGTAAAGAAATTAATGTTCCTTAAGAGAAAGGGAGTATTGGTCAGATGGAAAAGATACTCACTTGCAATATACTTCACACTTATTAGCTCTTACCTTAGTTAAGAATTTCAAGTTAGGGCTCTGCTTCTAGGTAAATATATTTTGAGTTTCAAACTGACTTTATAAAGCATATTTTTCGGATGTAAATTGTATATTGGAGACTACCTCTTAAAACATTTCTGTGGATCAGGGTCAGCAAACTTCTTTATTCAAGGATCATATAGTAAATGTTTTAGGTTTTGTAGTCCATTTAGTCTATACTGTAGCTATTCTACCTTTGTAAAATGAATAAAAGCATAGGTGATAAAATGAATGAGCAAAGCTGTGTGCCAGTAAAACTTAATTTACAAAAGTTTTATTATTTACAATAAGAAGCAAGCAGGTTTTGTAAATAAACTTTATTTACAAAAATAAGAGTTGGTCATAGGCCATGGTTTGTCAACCCCTGCACTGAATGTGAAAGTCTTAAGCTACCCTGTGCATTTTAGTTTATATTTTAATATATTGCATTGTCTCTGTACAAATTCTCAATGCTGTGTTATTTAGTTACTTCACGGAAACCAAGAGAAGATGAAAAAGATGGCCAAGCATATAAATTTGTGTCACGATCTGAGATGGAAGCTGATATTAAAGCTGGAAAATATTTGGAACATGGGGAATACGAAGGAAATCTCTACGGAACCAAGATCGACTCTATTCTTGAAGTTGTCCAAACTGGAAGAACTTGCATTTTGGATGTCAACCCACAAGTAAGCTGCACGAATTCCAAAGCTGTTCTTTAAGTTTTAGTTCCTATGGAGTTTTTGTCTTCTGATTATGAGGATGTCTCTTTTCCTGTATTACCTGTGGTGATAGAGAACCTTATTATGCATCTACAGCTAGTTTATTAAATCTCTAATCCATTAGCCAACAGAGACTTGGATGGTAGTAGATGCTCAAGTCACACCCCTTCCCACCCAGCACACACACACCCACACATTCACACACACATCCATTCATTTCATTCTCATTTTGTGTCTCCCTACTGACCCCTCCCCACCACTCTACACTCAACCCAATCTCCCTTCCCTGCTCAGAGATTTATATTATTAATAGTTTTGCGCATATCATTTTGTCATTTTAAGTATGCTTTAAATAAAATATATATATATATAGAAAATGTAATGGGTTTTCTACTTTTGTTGTTGTTTCTTATATACATAAATGGAAAAAATCTATACAGATTCTTTAGCCTTTTTTCATTAAGCAGTATTTCTTGAAGATCTTTTCATGTTAGGTACTTTTTTTTTGTGATTGCTGCATGATATTTCATAGTACAGATATATGTTTATATAACCACTCTCCAGTTAATGGACACTGAAATTATTTCTGCTTTTTCAATATTAACAGAATTCAACAGTTAACATAGAAAGCATTTATATCATTCTTAATGATTTGGGATCATTAAGTTTAATACTTTTCTTTTTGTTCAGGGGTACCAAAGAGTAGTGAGACTGAAAACAGAACAAAATTAATGGATCACTGTATGGAATCAGAAGGATAGAAGGGAGGTGGGGGGATGGGGAGCAGGTGTCCTTTATCTTTAGGAAGAGGGCTGGTGGACTTTGATTATTTAGTATAAACTAAAGGGTGACATAATTCAAATTCTAATCCTATATGAATTGGTTTGCAACTGTTCTTCTACACAGGCCCTAAAAGTGCTGAGGACATCCGAGTTCATGCCCTATGTTGTGTTTATTGCTGCTCCAGAACTAGATACCTTACGTGCCATGCACAAGGCTGTAGTGGATGCTGGTATCACTACCAAACTTTTGACGGTGAGCAGTTTTTTTCAGGCTAGCAGTATTATTTTCCTCCTAAAGTTTTTCCTTTTTCTTTTGGGCATGTTTAATTCTATCTATTCATATTTATGAAATAAACACATTACATAAGGTATCAGAGAATAAAAATATGTTCCCTGGATATAGTTAGGATTTAGAACAGTATTGCTTTTACTTAAAAATCATCATCTGCTCCATTTTAAAACAGAAGTTTACTCTGTGTGAAAAGGAAATGGAACAGTGTTAAAATGTACATATTAATCTAATTCCCTCTCTTTACTAATGTGGAAACAGGGCCATTAACAAGCATGTTCATAAGGTTTACTATGGGTAGAGTTAGGTGTACTGACTTTTAATTGTTACAGGTTTTCACTTCTCCCTCTCTTTTTCTCATGTTGTAAAAAATTTTAAATATGTAGAAAAGAGGGAAGAAATGAATTCCCATGTGCCCACCACTTAGCTTCAATAATACATGGCCATTTTTGTTACAATTAGACCTCTCTTCACTTCCTCCCTTACCTTGAATTATTTTGGAGCATATCTTTGATATCATATCAACCATAAATACTTTAGTATTTATCTCTAAAGATAGACGTTTTGGATGTAACCATGAAACCATTAACATGTAAACATTAGGAAGAGCATCTTCCTAATATCATCAGTATATAGTCTGTATTTTAATTTCCTCAGTATTTATAATTTTTTTAGTTGGTTTGTTCAAATCAGGATCCAAACAAGATTAACACATTGCATTTACCTAATGTCTTCTAAATCATTTTCCCCCCACCCCAGCATAATTGAGGTATAATTGATACACAATAAACTATACATGTTGAAAGTATACACCTTGATAAGTTTGGGCTTCTGTATGCACCTGTGAGGCCATCACAGTCAAGAAGCAGGCATATCCATCACCTCCATAAGTTTCCTTGTGCCCCTCCACAGTCCCTCCCTCCTGCTTCTACCTCTTGCACAATTTAGCTGATTAGCCTTGAAATCAGGTAGTTGTAGTCTTCTTTGTTCTTTTTCAGGTTGCTCCATGTCTCTAATGAGCTTTATGAATATCTGAAATATAGTTATAATAATGTTTTAATGTCTTCAGATTCTAGCATTTGCATCAGTTCTGGATTATTTAATGACCTTGCTCCTCATTGTGAGTCTTATTTTCTTGCACCTTTGCTTTGCTGTCCTGGTAATTTATTGGATACCCAATATTGTGAGTTTTGTCCTGGGAAATGCAGCTGTTTGGAAATTGTTTGTTCCATTCAGGTCTTGCTCTAAAGCCAGAGCAGCCCCCATTCTAGGGGCAGTTGCTCTTGAGTGCTGAGGCAGAGTTCATTTGCGTGCTGTCTCAGATGGCCTGTGCCTCAGGAGGTTTTCTGTTCTGCCCGTGGGCATGGGTATTGTTTCCGGCTCAGAGTGAATCTCTCATCCTTCCTGGTGAGTCTTTGGTGACCCTGGGTAGTTGTCCTGTGCATGGACTGGTATTCAGCTGATTGCTGGAGGGGGTCTTTTGCAAGTCTCCAGAGTTCTCTCTCTGTGTTGCTATTCCATCCTGTATTCTGTCCCGCAAGCTCCTGCCACCTTGTTCTCCCTGGACTGTCAGCTCCGCCGACAACTTAAGAGTTCAGTAGCTTCCTCCCGGGCTCCGCCTCCCTGTGTTGCAGGCTGGAAACATTTCAAGCTGGTGTGTAACCTGGGGTAATCATAGGGGCTCACCGTTTCCTGTCTCTGGAATCCCTGTGTTCCATTGCTAACATGCGAAAGATGCACATCAAAATATCAAAAGTGTCTTTTGTTATTCCATACTTGTGGTCTTAGTTGTGAGGCAGGAGGATTCTTCTGATATCTTTTGTCTTTTTTTTTTTTTTTTAGGAACTGTGATGTGAAGTGGTAGTATTCCAAGTTTCTCATTCGTTCTGCATTTATAAACTAGAATTCTTCTAAGTAATGACTTTTCTTCATCAACTAGTTTATTACTCTGAAGTAGAGTATTTACAGAAAAGTAGAAAATGTACTTGATACTTCCCCTTTATAGGTCAGTTTTCAGAATAATGGGTTTGTTCCATAACAGGCTCCACAGGTGACCAAATAAGGTTTGTGTTTTTTTAGTTTTTAAATCCACAAGCACATGGATTTAAACTTGATATATTTTACTCTATTGCAGTTATTATTCTTACTGATGTTCAAATTGCCCCATCTTTGACCAACAGGGGCTTATTTAAGTTGGCCCTTGAGATCTATTTCATGAGCCTAATGGTCTCATATAGCTTCCCTGCTGGAAGACAGATGTTCCAGGCTCATCTTGTACATTTTCTGTTCCAAGCCAGGAGTCAGCTATTTGTCCAAAAAGCTCTGGTTCCTTTTAGAGTAAATGGTATTTTATTTTAGGACTATAATATTAAGGATGCACATTGTCCCAAGATTGATTACTGTTTCTAGCTTTATGCACCTTTTAGGTAGACGGAGCTCATTTGGATATATGCTTTTCTGTTTGTATATATGAAGGAAACAGTATCATGAATTTATACTGACACTTCCCAATCAAATTCAGGCTTACAGGGTTTTACTTAACCTCTTTTATATGGTAACTCCATTCTCCTGTGCTGAGTATCCCAGTTCTCAGAAACACTGGGAATGTTAAGAGTAGCACATAATTGTTCATTTGCTTATCTCAACAGTACACAACAGTCTGAATATAAGTGTACAAATGCTACCAGATATGATTCCTGTGAACTGTCTCCTTTATCTTTAGGGTTTTTCCCACTAAGTATATCAGTCAAATCAAATCAGTGTATTTTAAAGTCACTTGAAATACTCCCTATGTCTGTGCTTAAGTTAGTTATTACTCTTTGATGTGTAAATTGTCTCATCTTCAGTTAGGAGGAGCCGATTCCTCTTATTTTCTGAGTCTTTCTAATACAACTCCAATAACCTTCAATGATTCTTTGCTTCCTGGTACAACAAGCTGCTCCAGGTTATCCTTACACACTTCTTGGCCCAGATCTGAAACCAGCCTTCCAAAAGCCCTGGTTCCTTTTAGTGGGAAATAGTATTTAGACCTCCTGTGGATGCTAGAGGTGTGCATTCTACTTAGCTGGTCATTGTTTCAGGGTCTTCTCAGTGACCAAGTAAAGGAAACATATTTCCCCCTTTTGGAAAATAGACATCATTAGTTCAGTTTGATAGTTCCAACTCAGATTTTACATTTTTACTTAACTTCTTTGACTTTTTTTAATCATCTTTTTTCCTCCTATGCTGAAAGTCTTCATTCCTAATAACATTAACATAATTTCAGACTTTACATATATAAAATAAGCACATACTATATATGTAATTCCTGAGTAATTGTAAGGTACAGTTCCGGCGAGGCAGAAAAGGAAAGACGACCTCAACAGAAGTAGGTTACCTTTATTCAGGCAAGGAGGGGCGACAGTCGGCCTAACGACCAGGCTGAGCACCGAGAGGGATCAGGGAGGCTCCATATTTATAGGGAGGTTTGTGGAAGCGATAAGGGAAACGTCAATCAGGCAGGATATTTTGGGTATTCTTTTGTTGAGATGACACTTGTAGTTGGGCGGGGGGTGATAAGTCTTCTGGGCGGGTGGAGGGGGTGGTAGGTTTCCGGACAGGGGGTGATAAGTCCCAGATAGATGCAACCGGCCTGGAGCATCAGGGTGGAACTAAAGTTATACTTTGTTTTCTCCAAAGTTAGATGATTCAGCAAGGGGCCTTTGAGACTGTTGTTCTCTTTTCTAGACCCAAAAGACTCCTTCAGTAATAATATTAACAGTGTGATTATTGAGAAGTTTTAAGTTTCAGACTTAAAACTTTTTTTAAAAATTGTACTTATGATATATCCCTTGAATATTATTTTAAAGTCACTAAAATAATTGTGTTTAAGCCATCAACTTGAAACACATATTTGTTTTGCTTTTAAGTTTTATGTATTACTATTTTTTATTTGAATTTAATTTTGTCATATAATTCTATACATTTTCATAGTTTCAGAATAAATCTTTAAATCAAACAAAATTTAGCTTTTCCTGTCCTCTCTATTCCAATCTCCCACCTACATAGGTGGTTATTTTCACAATTTTTAATATAAATATGTGTGTGCATCCTTCTGCCCCCATTTCTTACATTAAAGGTAGCTTATTACATGCAGTAGTCTGCCTGCCTTTTTCACTTACTAACATATTCTGGAGATCATTCTGTAGCCATGGAGAGAGAGGTGTTTATTCTCCTATCTGTGTGGTACACTAGATCATTGTTACAGGATTACTATTGTCAAAGAGAATTGATTTGTGTTTTAACAGGACAGATTGCTAATAACTATACTAGATAAGATTTGTTTATAAGTTGGCCTGTTTATACATCTATAACAAAAGGCTCCTCTGGTCATGGTATTCTCCAGGCAAGAATACTGGAGTGGGTTGCCATTCCTTTCTCCAGGGGAATCTTCCCAACCCAGGTGTCGAACCTGGGTCTCCTGCATTGCAGGCAGATTCTTTACCATATGAGCCACCAGGGAAACCCAAAGATACTTTAGTTGTTTCAAACTGATTTAGAGATCTCAGTGAAAATATTAACTAAAATATAAGTACTAATATCCCTCAGCTTACTTGAGAACCCACTTCACTATTTTACTTTCCTTTAGGTGTTTTCACCAAATCCATTAACTTATATACCATCATTAGGCTGATGTTCCTAGTTTATGTATAGATAACCCAGACCTAAGCTCCAGTTTACACTAGCATTCACCTACTTAACATTACAGCTGCACCTGCATGTCTCATAGGCACCTTAAACTTAGCATGTACAAAGTAGAATGTTTTACTTACCCCCCACCCAAAGTCATATTTCCCCACTCCCACCCACCCAACTCTGCATCTTCTGCAACTGTTCATTTATTCAGGCTGAAACTCGAGCTGTCTTTGACTCATTCATATTCCTCACATTCCATCAGCCCATCAGCTAAACCTGATAATTTTACCACCAAAATATCTGTCTGTTCTGCTGTCATTTACGTTTTCTCTGCCTCCGTCATAATCCAGAGATGTCTTTCCATCCCATCTAGGTCTTCCATGACCTAGCCTGTGCTATCTCAACCTATTATCCCATCCTCCCTTGTCCTCCATCCATCTTGGTGGTCTTTTAGTATCTTTCAGTATCCTTTTTCCCCTTGGATTTTACATTGCTGTTTCCTGTGCCTGGAATGCTCTTTCCTCCACTGTAGTTCTCAATTTAAATGTCATTTAGGTAGGTTAAATGTCATTTATTCATATGTAGAGTTACTATGTCTCTCTAAGGTAGGTCTCTTAAAAGGTAGGTCTCTTTAAGGTAGGTCTCTTAAAATTCTTTGTTCCTGGTTGGTTTCTTTTCACAGTACTTAACTACAACTTGCAAGTTTTTGTTTATTTGCCCTCTTATTTGTCTCCTCCACTAAATGGTAGGAACTCATTCTGTCTTATTCACTGTTTTTTCCCCGGTTTTTGAACCGGCCTTTTTATTGGGACTTTATTTTTTGGGGACCTTTTGGAGTTTTTTTGAATTTTCAAACCCCAATTTAATGAAAAGCTTTACTTGCTCATGACAAAACCCATTCTTTACTTATTCTCCCTAAATATTCCAGAATGACTAGAAGTATTTTATGAAACATAATAATGAAATATATAACAAATTAAAGTGTGTGTGTGTGTTGTTGTTGGGGGTGGGGAGCATGTAGTCTTCAAATTATTCTTCTAAAATTCTCTTTCTTAGAAAAAGGCAGTAAAATTTAAGCTTAACAGCCACTGAAATTTGGGTTCCATGATTTACAGACTCCATAACGTAAAAATATTTTGAGAAGGATGATGCAGTCAGGCTGTGCTGTGCTAAGTTGCTTCAGTCATGTCCTGCTCTTTGCGACCCTGTGGCCCATAGCCCACCAGGCTTCTCTCTCCATGGGATTCTCCAAGCATGAATACTGGAGTGGGTTGTCATGCCCTCCTCCAGGAGATCTTCCCAACACAGGGATCAAACCTGCATCTCTTTCATCTCCTACACTGGCAGGCGGGTTCTTTACCACTAGCACTACCTGGAGGCTAAAGACCTACGATAATTCCTTATTACTTTGGATTTCACCCTAAGATTATTGTCAAAAGTCTTTTAATTAGGAATCTTATCTTAGTATCAGTGAAACAGAAGACACAGAATACTCATAAATGCAAACATGAATGCAGCTGGAATGACTGGATATGAAGAGATGGTAATATATTTTTTAATACTCTATGTAGATTAGATTTTGAGAATTGATATCACACTCAAATATCTATCCTAGTTACTTCTTATTTCACTTTGATTATGAGCAAGTATACATTGTATAAACTTTTCCTCTTGAAACTCTTTGACAGGACTCTGACTTGAAGAAAACAGTGGATGAAAGTGCACGGATTCAAAGAGCATACAACCACTATTTTGATCTCATCATCGTCAATGACAATCTAGACAAAGCCTTTGAGAAACTGCAGACTGCCATAGAGAAACTAAGAATGGAGCCACAGTGGGTCCCAATCAGCTGGGTTTACTGATGATTCAGTAAGGCTCACAATTCAAATAAAACTTCCAAAAAGTGACTGCAACAAACAAACCTTCTACTGAGAAAATACATGCACAGATAGAAGATATCTGCCAAGTCCAGGCATTTTTATTGTGTAGATTGAAATACCAGTACACTATTCTGAATTTTTATATAAAATGTGGTTGAGAAGGTGTACTAATATATGATTTATCTTAATTTTTCTAACTTTTTATGGATAATCTTTCTATTCATATCACATAAAGAAATGCGTTGAAGCATTTTGTATATGTTTTGATTTAGTACCCTTGCCTTTTTCATCCAAGGAATTTTCAAATCATTCACTCTAACATTGGTCTACATTTTCACTGTGATAATGAATACTTGAAATAGTTTTGTAAAGCTGCCATTTAGTTCAGTATTTAGTGAAGGGTCAGCTACTCTTATTAGGAAAAAATAATGGTTTATTGGCCTTCTTTCCTAATATATTCAGTTTCTTACAGAAGCAGAATTTTAATGTCAGTGCTACAGCTAGTCTACTACCATTCAAATCTGACATCGGAAGTCTGCTCAGCGCGACATAGCTTCGTTATTTCAGAGTTGTATGGCTATCCGTTCTAATTTATGCAGCTATATTAGTTTTTTCCCTTCATGCTCTCTCTTGTGAAAAAATGAAGAGCAATACCTTGCACTCTCATTTGTTGCAGTGATGGGCTGATGCTTCATTAACATGTACACAGCAAGCAAGGCCATGCCGGCCAAGAGAGTGCCTTATCCTGCAAACCTTACAGCAGAATGACTCTGAAAGCTGATCTGTTGTAAAAGTTTAACTGGTGAAAGTGTACCTATTGCTTTATACAGTTTTCTATTAGGATATGATCAGCAAATGTATCATGCCTCTGAAAATTTCTGTGATGCTGAAAAATGCCTCTTAAGTTTGCAGTTGGGGGTTTATGTGAACAATCAGTTTGCTTTCTGTGATGTGATCATTAGGGTATTTTTTCAGTTTATTGTGTTGTGAACCAAATCCACTGAACAATTTATGAAATCTGGAAAAAATCGTCAAATGTTTTCTCTCAGTAGACTATATGTATTATATAATATGTACAGTGTATGTATTATATAATATGTATTAAATAATGTTTTATATTTTTTTTACATTTGTTAGGAAATGTACTTTTTGTTTAGGAAGTAAACTTTTTGATTAGGAAAACACCTTTCCTTCTTTAGATACGTTAACATACGCAAATTTCCAAAATTCATCTCAGTTAATATCTTCCTTTAGGATTCTTTGATGGTATAAATTCTTCTAAAGTATATTCAGAGATGCAGATTATTGTTAAACTAAGTTAGCCATATTTTATACTGCTGCTAGCTTTTCACATAAACACTATTCACACTTAACGGGTTAGGTGCTTAAACTTTGGTGATCATCTTTGTTTGCTGGTAGGCACAGACCCCTGGCTGCTGAAATTTGTTTTCCCCTCAGCTAAGCTGTCACATGGACTGCTAGCCTGAAGGACTCGGAGGGAAGAGAAAATACATGGTGATAAGCAGCAGGCACACTGTTCTTCTTCACAGTGAAACCAAACACCCAAGTAGCTGTATGGAGGTTCATTGTCCCAGAATAGGAAATTGGTAGCAAAATGGATCATACCTTTTAGTAACTTTGGTAACTTTTAAACCACGTACATTTACATCAAAGTCTTGGCTTCTCAAAGATGAATCAAAGCACAGTGTTGAGATGATGTCCCATGACTTAGCATCTTAACACGCTATAAATTTTAAGAGAAATTTTATTTTCACATTCTCAGGAAGTATGGTGTCTTCTGCAGTGTGCCTTCATGCTGCTACCTGCAGCGTCTTGGGGATCACTGGGGCTGCTGCCTGCAGCCTCTTGGGGTTCACTGGGGCCGCTGCCTGCAGCCTCTAGGGGATCACTGGAGCCGCTGCCTGCAGCCTCTTGGGGATAGCAGCTCAAGAAGTCTATCCACAGGATATTTTACCCATCGACACACAGAGATGGTTTTTACATCAGACATATTTTAGGCCTTATCACATGGTATAAAGTGCACATTATTTAGAAAACAGTCTACACTTAAAAGAGTTATTTCTATTATAAATGGTATTCATGACTAACTAGTTTATACACATGAGATTCCTCCTAATATAAAATGGAACAGTGCAGTTGATTTAATTTCCATCTAGATGCCAGAGCTGAAAAGAATAAGTTTATAGCAAAGTTCATCTATCTCAATAAAGAGCCATTGAACTTGAAACTGAAGTCCCATCTGGTTCTATAGAAACCAGCAGAGCTCTGCTGGGGCAAGAAGTCCCAGAGGTCCCGGAATTCTCCTATAGCAATGAGAGTATAGTTGTGATCAAGGGAATGTGAACTTCTGTAGGGAAGGTCTAAGATAACTAGCTTTACTGAAGAGAAAATAGTTTAAGGTGATGCTGAACAGTTGGTAATCGTTAAAAATATACGTGCATATGCTTTTGGGAAACAGTGTGCTAACATACTAATGCACCTGAGGATTCCTTGTGGACAGGTGAGTATCCACATTCAGCATTCAGGGCATGATTATTTATATACAGCTAAATATTATATATATTTTTAAATATACAAATATCCCATATCCATAGAGTTGATGTCCCTGGATAAGTCATTTAACTGTAACTAGTATAATATATGTGATGCACTCAAGTAGAATTTTTCCTTTTATTATAACCAAGCCTCGATTATGCAGTTTCCATTTCTGTTTGATATTTGGATAGTGTCAAATAAAATACTATCCAATACATCAGGACTTTGTTTACTTTTACCATACAACTGCTGAACATAGTTTTCTAAGGTAGAAATCATATCATAAACCCAGTACAGCAATAGTAGCCTGAACCCTAGATTCTAGAATCTAGTAAATTTAATAGAATAGCTTATAAGGACAAGTTTTCTTTAAAAGAGCAAATTGGATATTAACACAAATTTAGAAAAAGAATGCATATTAGCAATAAAATATGTTAGTGTAGCATTATAGACTATGGCCAGGTACTAGCTGCTTTGACCGTAATATCCCAGTGACCATAGAAGATGATCTTTGTTTTAAAGAGTCATTAAATTTGTACTTATTTTTATGGATAACAACAAGTGTCACAATCCAGTGATTGGCATTGATTTTTCAGATGGATAGCCATGGAGTTAGGTATAATTATTTTAAACTGGTAAATATTAAACATAAAGTTTTGAAAATTGGTCTACTTAACACTGTACTTTTAGGACTTCTGAAACAACACCCCATTTTCCAGAAACCACAGGCTAGGGAGCCAATAATTTTATAGTGATGAGTCTTTATACTACATATGGAAAAAGCAATCCTGAAGTTTTCTGTATATAGCTAGCAGGTCATTTTTTAAATGTTTGAGTCATCATACATATATATATATATTATATATATACAGCTATGTGTATAATATGTAAAATTCTCCCAAGATATATGGATAATAATAATACTAAAATGTTCACTATGTAATTATAACTAATGCTCTTACATTTTTAATTATTTCCAAATTCTTAGACATTATGAAACTTTTCACATAGTTTTCAGAGGCTCTGGTTTTACTTTGAGGCAGATACTAATCCCCTTTCTGAAAAATATATTTGGAATTAAGCTCAGAAAGGTATTCTAACTTAATTTCCTTAGGGAAAAAGGACAGAGTCATGGATGGAAACCTCTTGGAAAATACTTATTTAACTCTTCAAATGAATTTGAGATATGGTTCAGGCTTAGCGATTATAGTACCTGCCCTCCTCTTGGATTTGTTGTGAGAATTCATGTAATAACATCTGTAATGGATTTGGAGTTCTTGGGAGAAATTCAGTATTTTAAATAATAGGATTATTGTATATAGTACAAGTTAATATTCACAAAGTTTTAAGAATACAATTGAGTAATAATTCATCATATCAGTTTTTACATATACATTATATGTCTGAAGAAGATAACAATTCTATAATTTTCTTAAGATTATTTTAACTGCATTTTTGCTAGCTTGAAATTTTATTTTTAATATTTTCCATAATTTATCATATTACTTTGTTTCTGGAATGGCTTAGTACACAGAATCAAAAATGAGTCCTTAAACACTAGAAAGTGAAGGAATGATGCTATCTCATTTCTAAGGTAAGACTTTAAAAGCGTGATTTGCACTACTTCTGCAGTACCACTGTACTGCATTCTTCAAAATAGTCTCTCTTTTGATAAAAATAGAGCTGGTGCACTTCTACTGGCTGAGATTCTAATTATGACTCCTGACCATATGACCATTGATAAAATTTACATCTCCCTTTTAATAATACACTTGTTAAATAAGGCTAACTTAATATTTGTCTTCACCTTAAATTACAAGAAGTAATTTATAACTCTGATGAGGTAAATGGTAAATTGGAAAATCTTTATTAAGCTACTTTATCTGTTTATTATATATATTCATTTGCCCTGAGTTTGCTTATTTTTTAGTTCTTTTAAAGTGTACCTCTCTTGGAGGTAACATAGTGATAGGTGCACACTATTTAGAAATTCTGCCTTCAGTTTTAAAACAGCTCTGAGGATGTTTGTCCAGCCTGAAAGAGGTTGTATTCCGGTCGGTCTCTTAGTGGCCTTGGTCAGGAGGTTTTGAGTTCAGAATCCTTTTCTAAGGCCAGACCTTTAGGAAATCCTCCTCCTCACCAACCAGACCACTCACAAGTCAAACAAAATTTAAGTAAGCAATCCAGTACTCTATTACATCTGAAGACATTCTGATCTTTGCCCCTTAAAGCTGCTTACCTTATTCTTCTGCCTGAAATTTATCACTGCAACCCTATTGTTTAACCCATAGTATTAAGTTTAAAAGGCATTTGTTTCTTTAAAAGGGGAAACATATTCAATTACCTCCAGTTGAGGGACCTCGAATCCAACAGGACTAACTTTTTTTTTAGTTTTGTTCTCTACCTGCTTCAAGGCCACTGGCTGATACTGCAGTGCTATGAGAAATCTGACTTGCCTCCATACACCAAAGCTGGCCAGAAGCAACAATTCTTTTTTTCTCCCCTACCAGCTTTAATTGTTTTCTAATATACAGCACAAATTAAATGAACACATCTACAGATGATGTAAATGCCACTTATAACTTGGCAGATTAAATGACTTAATGCTTGTAAATCTGTCTTGAGTCCCAGTGAACAAGTACTAACACAGAGCAAAAGCCAAAAGGCCTTATTTTAGAAGTCAGGGATAAATATCTTTATTGCACTTCAGTCACAGCAAGCCAGGGGTAGAAACATACAAATATGACAGACCATGCCTGAAACTTAACCTTCATATCAGTCAAGGAGGCCTGGGAGCTTGGAGGAAGAGAGAAACTCTGCTATATATATTATTACCAACACTAAACCATAAGTCATTACCAATTAAAATATGTGGTTCTCGTCTTATTCTTAAATAGAGGCAGGCAGTGATGTGAGTAACCTTACTTGGCAGACTTTGCAGAACATACACTGTTCTGATAAACATGGACTAACTGAGAAATGCCTTAGTCTTTTTAGTGGAACTTGGAGGAATAGCTGATCTCCATCTGTAACTGAAATACAAGGTAAATACTTCTCTTGGCTTTGTGTTCTCTTTAAAAAAGAACTGCTGTCTCCTGTTTCTTCAATAACATTGATTTTTAAGAAAATGTTATCTTGGATTTTGCTAGAAGAATGAACACTGGGGTTCAGCACCTAGTATAATTTCCACATGTTATGTTAGCTCTGTTAAGAGCCCATGATGAAAATTTGATGTGAAGACTTTGGGTGTTTTTCCCACCCCATTTCATTTTGGTATATTTTTATTTTGAACACATATGCATGCTCTTTTTAACCTCTAGTCTGTGAAATGATGGTAGAAGAGTTTTTTTTTTTTTTAATGGAGGGCAAAATACTTGTTAACAACCAAAAAATTAAAGCTGAACAAGCTGCTAAAGGTGAAAAAGTTTAAAAATAAAATTAATTGCTACTGCTTTCCAAGTAATTGTATTACTAGTACCTGTACAAAAGAAACATTATTGCTGTCCTTGTATAAATAAAATTTACCTGCAGTACAATTAAGTATTGACTTCTCAGCTACTGTCCCTGTATAAATTTTTCTTTTCACATATTAATGTTGTCCAAAATGAAATTTACTGAAATGTTCAATCTGTGAGACTGCATACTCCCGGTAAAATATTTTTGTACATATAAAGAAATAAATACTTAATATTGGAAAAATGTAATGTTTCATTTATAGGTAGAAAAAAGGCTTGAAGATAATAAAATATAGAAGGCATCAGGTTAGTTTTGGCAATTTCTTTGAACTGCTAATCATCTTTGTTAAAAGCTTCTAATGTCATATTTTTCCCACCAAAATTTATAAATTTTTCACCTGCCTCCCTTTTGTTTTTTAACAAGGAAACCCTAATTATTGTTTCATCTATCCCAGCCCAAAGATTCCATAGCTTTCAAAGATGACTTAAAGAATTCCAGAGACAGGGAAGATTAAAACACAGGATCAAGAGAAGACCTCTACGCTTAGATGGCATGAATACTAGGACCATTTCCCAGTTAGCCAAGAAAGGAAAAACCCTGGTGGGAAGGACAACACCTTCTGTGGCACACAGCTCAGCCCTGAGGTCTGCAATGAGAAGAGGAGGACCCACCGGACCGACCAAGAGATGGAGGCGTGAATGTGGGTGAGTGCAGGAAGCCTGTTCCCAGAAAAGGTACTTTGACAACTCTTTCCCAAGTTATTTTCTAAGATTCCATACACCACAATGCAGAAATTGCTAGTCTGGTGTATTTCTGATGTCTCCAAAAGAATTAAGTTTTTTTGTGGAAATATAGTTGCTTTATAATACTGTGTTAGTTTCAAGTGTACAACATAGTGATTCTGTATTTTTACAGATTATAGTCCATTATAGGTTATTATAAGATAGTGGGTATAATTCCCTATGCCATACAGTGAATCCTTGTTTCTTATCTACTTTGTAAACAGTAGTTTGTATTTGTTAATTTCATATCCCTAATTTGTCCCTCTCCCTTTTAGTAACCTCAAGTTTGTTTTCTGCATCTGTGAACCTGTTTCTGTTTTGTGTATATATTCATTGGTATTTATTTTTTAGATTCCAAATATAAGTGATATTGTATAGTATTTGTCTGAATTGCTTCACTAGGCATAATTCTTTTTAGGTTCATCCACATTGTTGCAAGTGCCAGTATTTCATTCTTTTCTTATAGCTAAGTAATATTCCATTGTGTATATACCACATCTTCTTAATCCTATCATCTGTTGATGGGACTTGAGTTGCTTCCATGTCTTAGCTATTGTAAATAATGCTGCTGTGAATATTGGGGTATATGTACCTTTTCAAATTAGTGGTTTCATTTTTTTCCAAATAGTGGGATTGCTGGATCACGTCAGTTCTATTTTTAGTTTTTGAGAAAACCTCCATACTGTTTTCCATAGTGTTTATACCAATTTACATTCCTGCCAACAACGTAGGAAGAAAGGTTCCGTTTAGTCCACATCCTCTCTGACATTTGTTATTTGTAGAGTTTTTGATAATAGCCATTCAGACCCTTTTGAGGTGATGCTTCATTGTGGGTTTGGTTTGCATTTCTAATAATTAGCAATGTTGAGCATCTTATCTTTTCATGTGCCTGTTTGCCATCCTTGTGTCTTACTTGGGAAAATATCTATTCAAGTCTTCTGTCCATTTTTTGTGGGATTTTTTTCAATAATTGAGTCATATGAGCTGTGTGTATAGTTTGACTACTAACCACTTGTCAGGAGCATCATTTGCAAATATTTTCTCCCATTCCATTGGCTGCCTTTTTGTTTCATTGATGGTTTCCTTTGTTGTACAAAAGGTTTAAAGTTTAATTGGGTTCCATTTGCATATGTTTGCTTTATTTCTTTGGCCTTGGGGGACTGATCCAAGAAAATATTGTGTTTTATTTCAGAATATTTCACTTATGTTCCCAAAAAATTAGGTTTTACATAAAGTCATCATTCCCTTAATAAACACAGTTGGGTGCCCATATAAGTGGACTGGTGCAGTTTAAACCCATGTTGTTCAAGGGTCCACCTGTGACTCACTCTTCCATCTTATACTACCTGTTGGTTTTCTATCACTGCAATAACAAATTACCACAGACTTACCAGCTTACAACACAAACTTATCATCTCAGTCCTGTAGGTCCAAAACTCAACACAAGTCTCATGAACAAGTCTCATGAGGCTAAAGCAAAGTTGTCTCCCAGGCCCTGCCCTGGCTCTTACCTGCAGGTCCGGAGGAGAATATGCATCCAGGCTCTTGCAGATTGGTGGTGGTCTCCAGTTCCATGCAGTTGTAGGATCGAAGTCCCCACTTCCTTGCTGGCTGGCTGAACAAACTACTCTCTCGTCAAACCGGCCTCCTCTATCTTGAGAGCCAGCAGCAGCACTGAATTCTTCTCATGCCTCATTTTTCCTGCATTTTCTTTGACCAAATCCGTCTCTCACTAACTCTTCTGGTTCTTTAAGGGTCCACCCAGATAATCCAGGGTCATCTGTCCATTTCAAGGTTCAGTACCTTAAAAACACCCTTTTTGCCAGGTTCTAGGGATTTATTAGGTCATGAACACTTTTTATGGGCCATTTTTGGGCCACACCACACTAACTGTGTCAGCATTTCTTCCTATTCCCATTTATGAAACAGAAGTAGTTGTGGAAATAGAGTTAAGGTGGCTCTTCTGTTCTAGGAAACACTACTGCATTTATTATCTGTTTTCTAGGTGTTCTGGGATATTAGGACTTGATTCCAAATCTAATTACTAAAAGAAGGATGGTTCTGAATCTCGAGCAGTAAATAAAGGTATATTTAAAGTTAAGAATGATATTTAATGGTGAGGATACCAGTTAGTTAGAAGAACCTATCTCACCCTCACTGGAGCCCAACACTACCTCATCCACCACACCCCAGTGGGAATCTGCTGTAGCAGCATATGCCTACATCTTTTTAAATTGCTAATGTTCACAACACAGTCCAACAGGATTACTGGCCAATCTTAGGGCCGTTGTGGGAAGAGACTGCCTCAGCTGCTGTTTAATGTAACCCAGACTTTTAGCACTTGCTTGGATGGCTTCTTTTCTTTCTGTCTTAAGTCTGTCTCTAGTTTTTAATGTTTGGGGGGTTTTGTTGTTATTTTTTAACTCAGGATAATGCATGCAAAATTCTAACAGAAAGATGAACCACCCCACCCCACCCCCCTGACCAATGCCTCTTGTCCCAACCTCTACATCCTTTCCTCAAAGCAGACACTGTTGGGTTTCTTGTGACCTCTTAAATGAGATTTCCCAGGCATTGAGATACATGGCTATCTGTTTTTCATGCAAGTAGACTCATATCACACATTCTATCTGTAGTATGTCCTTTATACTCATTTTATTTCAGAAAAGCAGAAAAAACAGGTAGGTATAGTACCAGCATCTCAGCACAACTATCTTGACTTTTGCATATTCCTCTCCAATTTGTGCATAAGGTGCTTATTTTTTTATGTTGTTGCCACCACAGTGTACAACTCTTTCTTTCTTACATATCTTAAATATTTGCATAATAACTACATGATTTAGTCTAATTTTTAATAGAGGTGATGAAAGGCTTATTTTCTTCATTTCTTGCTTATTAATGTTCATTAAAATCTGAAGTAGAGGAAGGGAATAAGTAGGTGATGTTGAGATAAAAAACAGGTGCTGAGTAACATAGCATGTTCCAGCTGCTAGCCCTCATGCCCACTGCCTCCTGCCCCTAAAGTAAGTCGGTTTCTAGCAGCAGGTCTCAGTGACTTTTTGCCGAGGGAAAGCAAAAGTAGCTTCAGGTCCCCAGAGGACATTAGCATTGGCATTAGGAGCACTCAGGAGACAGTTCAGGCTATTTATAGTGGAAGGATATGAAAACAGAACAAACAAGAAAAATATACATAGTTCAAAGCCCCTTTGATACAATATGTAGCATTTTACAAATTAAACATCCACCATGCATGCAAAATCAGCACACTGCTCTAGACAATAGGATTGGTACATTGATCAAAGCCTGGCAAAGTCAAATAAATAAAATGCATATATACCAGCCCCTAAGGAGAAGTGTGTCCTGCGGTAAGGTTATTGTTTAGCATAATTTTGTTTAGCAGAAGACTATGTTCTCTAGTAGCATTTACAGTTCATTTTTCAGTCACTGCATAGCATAGAGCACATTCAGAATGTAGCCTTCTATGAAGAGGAATTGCCTCCCCACAGCATTCATAATTTAAAATGAATTTTTGGATCGAAGTGTCAGTCTCATCTATTTTTGTTTAACAGAAAGTGGGAAAAATAAAGTGATGGATGGACCTATTTTTTTTCTTGCCGAGAAGAGGTCTGAGTACTCTGGCTTAGAATTCTCCACCCTCCTCCAGCTGGGGTATTGGGGGTCTATAATTCAGACACTGGGTTACCAGCACAGAAGGGCCTCCCATGAGAAAACCCTGTACAGAGTACCTGCTAGCTGAATTCAAGGTGATTTGTAATGCAAAAAGCCACCACTTCTTAAACTATTAAATAAGTTCATCTACTTGATTATTTACCATGGTGACCTAAGCCCCAAAGGCAGTATTTGAATGATGCTGAAAAATAGCCAGCCTTAGCTGATAACACGCAGAAGCAGACCTCAGATACTGCAGATTTGGTTCCAGACCACCACAGTAAAGCAAATCACACAAATTTGTTGGTTTCTCAGTGCATATAAAACTTATTTTTATACCATCTTATAGTCTATTAATGTGTACAATAGCATTATGCCTAAACTATGTATATACCTTAAAAATGTTTTATTGTTAAAAAATGCTAACCATCATCAGAGCCTTCAGCAAGTCGAGCTGTAATCTTTTTGCGATAGTAACATCAAAGATCACAGATCACCATGATACATATAATAATGAAAACGTCTCAAATATTGGGAGAGTTACCCCAATGTGACAGACACAAGTGAGCAAATGCTATTGGGAAAACGGTGCCAATAGACTTACTCAATGCAGGGTTGTCACAGACCTTCAATTTGATTAAAAAAAAAAAATGCATTGTCTGTGAAGTGCAATAAAATGAGGTGTGCCTGTACCTGTAATCCGCACATGACACTGTTACTGTGCTCTGCCCAAAGCACAGAGTCCATTCAGACTGATGTAGAGTATCAGTGATAAGACGTTAGGGTCCTCCCTGCTGGCAGCTTTCACGGATGATTGCATTCTCTCCAGGTTAATGTCAGTTGCAGCAAACAGACGCTGCACGATCCCAAACTTTTCTGTATCTTTCAGAGGAGCCAAAGCTGGGTCTTCAAGATCAGACACACCATCATGAGACAGAGCACGGAGCTAAAATGACAAATGTAAATAAATTCACCAAAAAACATCATAGAAAGTCATCATCAGATAATAACATTAGCACTTCTAGCTAATTATGGGGGGAAAACTAAGTTGTTTAAATTCTCCAAGTAGAACAGGGAAAACCCTTGAGCTGTAACAGGATATATTGGCTCAGGCAAGGACCACAGGCCTGACTTTATCCACTTTGCCTGGAGTCGTCTGTTGTTGTTCAGTCACTCAGTTATGTCCGACTCTTTGCAGCCCCATGGACTGCAGCACGCCAGGCTTCTCTGTCTATCACCAACTCCCGGAGCTTGCTCAAACTCATGTCCATCGAGTCGGTGATGCCATCCAACCTTCTCCTCCTGCCTTCAATCTTTCCCAGCATCAGGGTCTTTTCCAATGAGTCAGTTCTTTGCATCAGGTGGCCAAAGTGTTGGAGTTTCAGCGTCAGTCCTTCTAGTGAATATTCAGAGTTGATTTCCTTTAAGGTTGACTGGTTCGATCTCCTTACTGTCCAAGTAGTCCTCTGACTGAACACCTGCTCTCTGGACTCTACCTTCTATTGGATCCATTAACTCCAGTAGATTAGAAAGGTCAGAATGTAACTTTCTCATACCCAGTGTGTAAAGTTTGTTTTTTTACTGTAATTCAAGTGTTAGAATTTCTTAAGTATATTTGCATAAACTCAAAGGTAGGTACCATAGTTTATTTACCGATGCTCTCTGCCTCAGCCTTCTTCTTCCTTCCACCTGTGATAGCCTTCCTCCAGAGTTCCCATAGAATTTTCCCTCTCATCTCTGAGTTGTCAGCTGAAATGCCACATAATGGGTCTTTCCTACTCCTCTCTCCATCGATACACTCACTACTCCCACCTCCCGACCACTATTACACTATCTTATTGTCTTCATATATTTACTGTATCTGACATTATCTTTTTGCCATTTCCCTGTTTGCTCTGTGTATTAAAACCGAAGTTGCCCGGAAGAACCAGGGACCTTGTCCAGCATGCTCACTTTATACCCCACCTGGAACACAGACCCTCGCTTCTTCAGAGAAGTCACATCAGATGCTGCTCTAATCGCAACTGCTCAGAACATTGGAACTTTTGCTCTTAGGGTCTTGAGCAGTGCCTCTGATACATGTTTTTAGTCTGTAGTAATTACAATTTTGCCAGTAGATATGAATTTTAAACAGGCACTCGGAACCTGATCAAATTAGTAATGAGAGTAAAATTTTAAAAGAAGTAAGCCTTATAAAGTATGCGTGAATTTTAACTGAATCTGAAGGAATCCAAAAGAATTCCAGACATGTCCTGAGCACTGACAGCCTTACTAAAAGAAATACTGCAGCTTGCCCCCACGGCCAAAGGACGGCACTCATTTGCATATAAGCGTACTTGTGTGTCTGTTATCAAAACCAGCCTTAAAAAATCCATACACCTTGTAGATTCACTCAGTGTAAGCAGAGGCTTCCCTTACCATGTGGCCCAGAGAGTGGATCTGGTCTGCTCTTATTTAAGCATGACCATATCTGGTGACATAAGAATGAGCTCCACTGGCGAAGGCTGAAGCCTGCCAACAGCACAGTGGGCTGTGTCCTGGGTCTGGTGGAAAAGTGCCCAGCAAAACCCGCCTGCTTCTCTGAACATCTGCCAACCCCAGGCACCCAGAGGCACTTCTAGGTATAAAAGAGACTACAGTCACACCTGAAGGAGTGGAGGTGTGAAATTAACATTCTCTCTAGATGATTATAAACTCACCCTCTTACCATTTCTTCCACCAGTTTGCAAAGGTGTGAGTGTATTTGACACCGTTCTTTCAAAAGCCTTTCAGAAAACTTCTCAAACTTACTCTGGCCACCAGACAAGACAGGAATGCAGGTAGATTTTTGTACCTTGCTCTAAGTAAATCCCTATAAGAAATATAAGATACCCAAGTTCCCTCAGGCGGCAGGAGCCTTGCTGTCTTAAGAAATGTTATTACGATATCTAGGGGAGATTATATGAAGACACTCAGGAAGGTCTTTAAAGAAAAATTATTTGTTTATATTCAGCATCCCCACAAAGGTAAACAAATGACTCTGTGGGTGGATGGTTCTACACCAAAGTAGAACACCAGCTGTGCTAGAACTCCAAGCGCATCCTAAGAGCTCCTCCTAGAACACCAGCAGCTGAATTCTGGTGAATGCAATGTGGGATCAAATCTTAGAGCAGACCTGCAGGGAAGATGACCACTAAGTGTGAGCTGGTTGGCAGAGGGAGTTAGCTAATGTGGTCTTGGCAGTATTTTCTTTTTGTATCTACTTCGTGAATGCAGTTGATGGCTTTGTAATACATGGTAAGGGCTGACCTAGGAAATACTAAATATTCAGTTGCTATGACAGGGAGCTAAGCTATGAAAGCAGAGCTCCTGTCGTTGCAGACAATTAGATAATGATATATATCATTTCCATAACCAAACTGCACCATCAGCGTCTACCCTCAGCTGGCTGCAGAACAATCTCATGCTGGTTCATTTTCAAGTAGTTCAGTTTTTGTGGTCAAAGTACAAGAACACAGCGTTCCTCTGGGTGGTGAGGATCTGTTTTCAGTTGTGAATGACATCTAAACTGCTCCTTGGAATGATGCCTTGCTACAGTTTTCACAGGTCTCTGCTACACAAAGATGCACCAAAGGCAGTAACCACCATGCTGACAAGTTCCCAGGGCAGATGAGTAACAAACTGCAGGGTCCTATGTAGGTAGTCTACCCTAACACCTGCTTTACAGACCTGGGTGCAGAGCTCCAGGCTTTAGTTCTTTGGTCTAAACAGCATGCTGGCATCAGCCCTTAGGAACCAGGCCTCAAATAATGACCCAGTTTGTAATTTAAAAAGGAAAACTTAACCTTGACTCTCAGGGCTAAGCTCATCATTACTTAACTCTTACTCTTGCCATGACATTTCCCAAGGGCATGAAGCTAATGATATTCCTAAGAGAAAATGAAACGTCTCCCTGAGACAAAGCAGTCCTCTTGAACACCTCCCTGTCGAATTCAATGCTGAATCAGACTGGTTCAGCCATAGAACTGGCATGGCAAAAAATGTGGTGTCAGGCCCCTTCCCTGCAACAGTGCAACAAGCCTTGGCCAAAATTCTCTCCAAGAAATGCCAAAATCATGAGACATGGAGTACAAAGACAAGGTTCGAGTCCTAGCCCTGCTAGCAAGTTCTCCAAATAACTCCTTTCCCTCTGAGCTTTGGTCTTCCTATGTGGTGTGTGACGCAGGCAGGGTGTAAAAGAATGTGCGGTTAGTAGTATCAGGCCCCTTCCCTGCAACAGTGCAACAAGCCTTGGCCAAAATTCTCTCCAAGAAATGCCAAAATCATGAGACATGGAGTACAAAGACAAGGTTCGAGTCCTAGCCCTGCTAGCAAGTTCTCCAAATAACTCCTTTCCCTCTGAGCTTTGGTCTTCCTATGTGGTGTGTGACACAGGCAGGGTGTAAAAGAATGTGCGGTTAGTAGCATCTATTTTAACCTATTTTGAAGGGCTACTGTGGATGAGAAAGCCTAACAAGTTTTATCAGCTGCTGGGCATTCGATCCCACTCATTTCCCTGTTCCTAGCCACCCCAGGTCCCCTCTGGGAAGGTCCTTACCAGGTGGTACAGTGGAGGAATTATCTGGAGCTTACAGCAAGTGCCCAGCAAAGCTGCTGCATTATCTGGCATTTCTGCAGGAGAAAAAGAGAATCAGTCACTGTCCAAAGAAAGCATACATGGAAGCAGAGCCAAACCCTGGGTTGTACCTAACTTAGATGTCCTCTGCCAGCCGGATGTGCTCAGTCATTGTAGAATAAATGGACAAAGGGGGCTACACAAGCAGCACAATCTTTTATAAAATAGATGTAGGGACCAGGTAACCAGCTCTGTGTTCACCAGAGGATATTTCTTGCATGTAATTCTCCAATCAGAAAGAACGGTGCAGACTCAGGGAAAAGTGAGTCAGCATGGAAACGCAGAAAGAACCTGGGATTCCGTGAATCAGTGAAGAGCTATGTTTCACCCCACTAAATACGTGGGGAGTGATCTTTGGTTTACCCCTCCTAGCGTGTTTCCTCATTTGACTACTATAGATATGGGGTTCTTTTTGTTTTTTCTTAGCCTACGTCAGATAACTAAATTATAAAGGATTATACGTAGGTCACTAGTCATTTGGTGGGGGACAATGTAGCCTGTTTCAACCTATTTTGAAGGGCTGGCACAGCGGAGCTCCTGAGCCCAGGATTGTGCAGGGCCCCGGCCCAGCACTAGCTCAGCACAAGGGCACTGGCGACTCTCAGAGAGGGCTGACACAGAGCTGCGTGAGCCTGGGGCCCGCAGCAGACGGGTCCTTCCCAGCCCCGGGAACAGGGAATCCAGATGAGTGTTGTTCCAAACTGGTTTTAAATACCTCCCAGGATAGAACAGATGAGATTGCTGAAAGGACCCAATGCCTTGGGATACAACATTTGAGTTGAAAAGGCAAAAGAGAAGAGTCATCTGCTCCATCAGCTGGCCCAGGGAACACTCATGAACTCCATCTCCTGTGTTAATTAGCAGCCTTATTTATAAAGGGCAGTGTGCTGCTTAGGCTGGAACCCAGCAGAGAACAGTGAAACATGGCTTGTTTCCAGGAGAGGAAGGCTGCTGGGCGGGTGGGGCAGCTCTGAAGATACAGTCCTACCAGTGAACCCCCTACACTGCATTTAAAGGTTGTGTGTGCTTCCATCTCCAGAGAGGTTCCACCATTTTCAACAAACCCTCAAGGAGGCCCTAATTCCAAGTCCGGAATGAAGATGGCAAATACGTGTAGCCTTGCCTTGTGGAAAGATCCCCACAGCTGTGAAGGGCAGGAACACAGTCACCTGGAATATGACGTTCCAGCTGAGCTACTGTCTCGGTCATCTCACCTGGTCGTGTTTCCATCTCCTCACCTTTTAGGTGACTCCTGAGTCCCCTGTAATCATTATCATCCCTTGTTCCTGGAAATACTTTATTTCCATGTTACTCAGTGGTCATTTCCTACCCTGAGCCTGGCTGAGGACATGGGGATGAAGACAGCATCTGCTTTGCAGAGTTTGACTGAAGCAACTTAGCACTTGTGCTCTCGTGCCCAATTTTTTGCAACCCCATGAACTATAGCCTGCCAGGCTCCTCTGTCCATGGGATTCTCCAGGCAACAATACTGGAGTGGATTGCCATACCCTTCTCCAGGGGATCTTCCTGACCCAAAGAGTGAACCCATGTCTCTTGGGTCTCCCACACTGACAGGAGGGTTCTTTACCACTAGCACCACATGAGAAGCCTACCATCTGATTTTACTACTTTACTTCCCTTGATTAATTCCCTTGAGGGTGAGGAATGTTGATTTTTCTCACACCTCAGATCTGGCAATGCCTGAAACAGAGTAGAGGCGGCTTCAATTGTTTCTGGAATTGAAATGACTTTTGATCTTTCATCTTCTAAGCATTTAACAGATGAGACCTGGGAAGTTCATGCTTAAGGTCACAGAATGGTAGATAAAGTGTTCCAGAAGACCAGCCAGATGCTGAAACTGCAGTGCTTTAAACAAAATCAAGGAAGCAGGTCCAAGACAGCACCATAGGAAGATCCAGAACTCACCACCTCCCACAGACAGACTGAATCTACAGCAGCACATGGAAGAGTTTCCTCTGAAAAAACCTGAGACTACCTGAGCGACTCCTACACATCAGGTGAACTAGGAAGAAAACCCCACGACAGCAGGTAGGAGAGGCCAAGCACAATCTCCCTGTAAACCACACTTCTGGTGCCACGACCCACACTCAGGAGGGAACTCAGAACCCGAGCTTCTCCCTGTGGTGGAGGGTCTGAACCCCACCCTTTGTGCCCTATCTGCCTCATTCCAGGGTGCTGACATCTCCTGGAAAGGAACTTGCGATTTTTGTGCCTGCCACCCAGATGACATTTCCAGGTCACCGGGCTCTCTGGCTCATGGGATTTACACTTGTGGTCTATATATATTTATATACTTTAAAAGCTGCTGCCTGAAGGTCTGGCCTCTAACCAGCCTGAATCTGGGTGCTGAGTGAGCCCCTCTTTGGGACACTAACAGGTGTTGACAAACCCTCAACTATTGGGAGCCACTAAAAATAAGCTGCTTGAACAATCAGAGGTTTGAGAAACAACAGAGCGCTAGGGCAAGGTTGAACAATAAGGTTCTTTCTTACAAGAGACCACTCCCTCAAGACTCTGAGAGCTGACTGTTTTATCTTATGCATGGAAACAAACACAGGAAATCAAGGAAAATGAAGAAACAGAGAAAAATGTTCCAAACAGAGCAAGATAAAAATCTCAAAAAAGGTCCTGAATGAAAAGAATATAAGTGATTTACCTGCTAAAGGGTTCAAAGTATGATCATAAAGCTGCTTAACAAGCTTGGGAGAAGAACAGATGAACACTGTGAGAACTTCAACAAAGAAATAGAAAATACAGGAAAATACCAAATATTAAGTCAAGTCATAGAAATGAAGAATACAATACCTGAACAAAAACAGACACTAGATGAAGTGGAAGAAAAGATCACTGAACTCAAAAGACAAGCAGTGGAATTCACCCAATCAGCGCAGCATCTTTTTGCGAACACAGCTTAAGAAACTATGCTACATCATCTAGCAAACCAACATTTGCACTATAGGGATACCAGAAGAAGAAGAATAAAGGGGCTGAAAAGTGCCCTAATGTAGGGAAGGAAACAAACACTCAGATCCAGGAGACCCAGACCACATTAAAATGTCAAAACATAAAGACGAGGAGAGAATCTTAAAAAGCAGCGAGAGAAAAACAATTACAAGGGAACCCCTCCATATGGCTATCAGCAGATTAGGTTTTTCAGTAGAACCTTTGCATCCTAGAAGGGAGTGTGGTATGATATAGTGAAAGTACTGAAAGAAAAAAAAAAACCTTGCAGCCGAGAATACTCTACCTGATAAAGTTGTCATTCAGAACTGAAGGGGAGAGAACGTTCCAGACAAGCAAAAGCTGAAGGAATTCATCGCCACTAGACCAACCTTACAAGAAAAGTTAAAGGAACCTATTTAAGCTGTAATGAAAGAGTACTAATTAGTAATAAGAAAACATATGAAAATAAGTCTTACTGGTAAAGGTAAATATATAGTAAAATTCATAATAATCTAATGTGGTAAGGGTAAATTAATCACCTACAAAACTATTATGAGATTAAATGACAAAAGCAGTAAAAATATAGTAATTTCTTAAGGGATATGCAAGATAAAAAGATATGATTTGTGACATCAAAACCACAAAATGGCAGGAGAGGAGAATAAAATATATAGCCTTAGAATGTGTTTAAACTTGTTACCAACATAGTATGTATAACAGTCTAAGCTGGCATGTAATCCTCATGGTAACCACAAAAAAAAATGAGAAAGGAATCTAAGCATATCACTACAGAAAGTCATCAAATTACAGAGGAGGAGAGCAAGTGAAGAAAAGAACAAAAGAACTACCAAAGAGCCACTAAGTAATTAACAAAATGCCAGTGAGTACATATCTGTCAGTAATCACTTTAAATGTAATTGTCTTTTGATTGGAGAATTTAGTACAGAGTTGCTGAATGGATAAATTAAAAACAAAACCATTATACTGCCTGTGGGAGACTCATTTCAGATGTGAGGACATATACAGACTGAAGACAAAAGGGAAGGAAAGATAGTCCATGCAAACGGAAACCAAAAGAAAATTGGAGTTAATAGGCTATCTTTATATCATAAACAGACTTTAACACTGTAATAAGAGACAAAGAAGAGCACTACGCAATGATAAAGGAGTCAAGCCAACAAGAGGATATAACACTTTAAATATTTACACATCCAGCACAGCATCACCTTTTGGCTCAGCGATAAAGAATCTGCAGGTTCAATTCCTGGGTCAGGAAGATCCCCTGGAGAAATGGCAACCCACTCCAGTGTTCTTGCCTGAAAAATCCCATAGACACGAGGAGGCTGGCAGGCTACAGTCCATGGGCTCGCAAAATAGTCAAATACAACTGAGCACACATGCATGCATGCACATAGAAGCACCTAAATATATAAGAAAATAAGCCTAAAAAGAGAAAATGGACAGCTATACAATAATAGTAGGGGATTATTTAATACTCCACTTTTATCAATGGCTAGATCATCCAGACAAAAAAACCAATAAGGCAAGAATGGCTCAAAAATGCCTTTAGGCAAATGGAAATGCAGCACATCAAAATTTATGTGATGTAGCAAAGGCAGTTCTAAGAGGAGAGCTCACAGCAATAAATGGTACCTCAGGAAACCAGAAAAAATCTCAAAAAACCGAACTTTATACCTCAAAAGGAATAAATGAAAGACAGAGTTAGTAGAGAGAAGGACATCACTAAGATCAAGGTGAAAATTAAATACAGGGTAATAGATTAAAAAAAAAAATCAATGAAATGAATAGCTAGTTCTTCGAAAAGATGAATTAACCAACATTTAGCTAGATTTGCCAAGAAAAAGAGATGCCTCAAATAAAATCAGAAATGAAAGTGTAGATTTTACAACTGATTGCCCAGAAATACAAGAGATCATAAGAGAGTACTGTGAATAATTTTATGCCAAAACATTGGACAACCTAGAAGAAGTAAACTCCTAAAAACATACAACATACTCAACATCCACCTTGAGAAAAAGATGCAGGGACTAAGACTGGGCTAGTTTGTCAGCTCTTACCTCTCTGAGAAGTAAAAGTCCAGCTTCCGGGACTTCCCTGGTGGTCCAGTGGCTAAGACTCCAAACTCCCAATGCAGGGGGCCCAGATTCGATTCCTGGTCAGGGAACTAAAGATCTCACACCTCAACTAAAGATCTTATGTGTTGCAACAAAGACCCAGTGCAGACAAATAAATTCCTCATACAGGATGACTGCGTTCTGGGTGGGAGTTGGTGCGGAAATGTAGGGCAGGCTCCACAGCTCACTAATAACTGAATGGCCAGGATGGGTGTGGAGGTTGTAAAGGTGCTGGGCGCTTTGGGATGCTCTTTGCAGCCTCCCTGCCCTCACGGCCACAATGCTGCACTCAGGATAGGGCCATAAGTTTGCAAAGAGGAACAAGAGGATGAGAGGACCGAAACACTGGGGGAGATGGCAGTTGCCAAATGATGCCTGGCAACGCTGAGTGGCAGTGGCTTTCAAGTGTGAATCACAGGCTGTCTGGGGAAGTGGTTTCCTGTGCGGGTGAGAGGGTGTGCCTGCAGACAGCCCTCCCTGGCAGAGGAAGGAAAGTCCTCTCCAAGAGTGGAGGAGGCTAGCAGCAAGTCCATGACTTCATGGCAGTCCTGTAAACTCTCCTGCTTATCTTCCCTGCACTGCTTGAAAAGGTGGGAACCTTATGTACCAAATCTCCCACACAGTAAACAAAGCAATTTCAAGGCAACAGCATTTCTTCCCTTTTTTTTGATCCATACCTGCTAGCGCACTGACCAAGAAGTAGGCTGTAGAGAAGAGTTTCTGGTTGTTAACCACATCCTCTGAGCCCGGACGCTCGCCCTGCACACTGCACCCCGCCAGCCGCAGGAAGGTCGTGAGGTTGTGCTGCTGTGACGGCTTCAGCTCCCCCAGTGTCACCAGTGAGGGTGACAGGCTGCCGACTATGTCATCACACTGCGGGATGAGGTTGGTGGGGGGTGGGAGAGAGAGACAGATGTAAAGCCAGAGGCCAAGCTGGGCACAACCCAGCCTCTGCCTTCACGACATACAACACTCAGAGTGAGTTGGAGCATGCATACATGCTAAGTAACTTCAGTCATGTCTGCGACCCTATGGACTGTAGCCCACCAGGCTCCTCTGTTCATGGGATTCTCCAGGTAGTAATATTGGAGTGGGTTACCATGCCCTCCCCCTCCAGGGGATCTTCCCAACCCAGGGCTCAAACCCGTGTCTCTTATGTCTCCTGCATTCACAGGCGGCTTCTTTACAGTGGTCCCCAAAGATAGGTCCGCCTGGAGCTTCACAATAAGACCCTATTTGAAGTTCTTGCAGATGTAGTTAAGGTAAATCTCAAGATCCCCCTAGATTGGAGTGGACCCTAAATCCAGTTGTGGGTGCCCATTAAGAGACAGAAAAGTAGACGGCCACATGAAGACAGAGCAGAGACTTGAGCAATGTGGCCACAAGCAAAGGAATGCCAGGAGCCCCCCAGGAACTGGAGCAGGCACACAAGGATTCCCTCCTAGAGTCTGTGGGGAGCAAAACCCTGATGACACCTTGACTTTAGACTTGTGGCCTCCAGAACTGTAAGAAAATACATTGCAGTTTGTGGCAATTTGTCACAGCAACACTAGGAAACTAATACACCCTCTGCTCTGCACATCAGCTACCTTTCTGCAGTTAGACAGCTAAGGGGCTGCAACCAAGAACAAAAGAAGCTGTAGGATTAAAAGGAGGTGAAAAAATTTCAAACACAATTTTACCCCAGCTCAAGATCTCTTATCCCAAGAGACTTAGTGCAGAAAAACAGGCAGAGACACCGCCTTGAGGTGTGTCCAGTCTTACCACTTGTTCCAGGACCACCAGTAATTCCTCATCCAACAGGACTGCCTGGAGGACGTCATTCAGGGCTGTCTGTTGCTGCTCGGGCAACTCCATGAAGGGATGGAAATTCCTCTCTAAGAGCAGAGTGGCTGTGAACGCAGCAGAGCACATCGGGTCTCATGACTTACCCCAGAACTAGGGCCAGCGACTCAGGCTTTTCATAGCGAACTGTCCTCTGTTCTTTCATTGACACTTCCGGCTGCATGGTCAATAGTGGAACTCAGAAATAAAGAGTATTAAATACCACCTGTGTGTTTTTCACTAATCAGACTATTAAAGGAAGAAAGAAGGAGGGAAGGAAAGGGAGGATGGGGAGACAGAAAAGAGGGAAGCCAAGTTTTGTCTCAGACTTTTTCCTGATGACTCACTAAACATTAAGTCTAATCAATTTCCTGAAAAAGTCATTTGCAGTTATTAAATTATCGTCTAAATTACCAAACATCAGTTAGAACTTTTACAAAGCTTCAGGACCATACAAATTCCAAAATGCATTATTTTTCATATATTTCCAATACACTGCAGGTTTTTTTGTATCCTTTAACATGAAATGCATGCTTTTCAAGGGACTGGCATAATTTTCATTAGGCAAACACAAGATAGCCACTTTCCCCATTCTTCTTTACCTGTCCTGGAGAAATGGTTAGAACCCCAGCTGGATCACTCAACACCCTCTTCAGGATGCCTGAGCCTCTCCTCTTAAAGTCTTCCTTTTTTAAGACAGTCAGAAGCGTCTAGTAATTTAAGCCCAGTGGGAATTTGAAAACAAGATTTGATAAGCCAAAGCTTCCATATACAGGGATGCATAGCAATACATAAATGCACCACCTCTGCTGATGTCAAATTCCAACAGTTATACTAAAAAACCACCCTATAAACCCAATTAGGTCCTCACCAGCCCTGGCCTGGATAGAAAGGCTGTCCTGGCTGCTCTAGAGTTTAAGGGCACAGATGCGGGCCCCCACCCTACTCCCGCCTAAACCACCCAGCCTCCCTACTTCACCCCAGGCTGACTAGAATGGCCAGCTTGCAGGATAGACTAGTGGGAAAGGAAATTATAAGAAAGCTCATCCTGTCTTGTCATTTCCCTGTAGTGCATGCAGTTAAGGCTGCAGTGGTTCTAATCTTAGGTGGCAGCTGAAAATCACACCCAAATATCAGGAGGATGCCTGCAGCCCTGGCATTAGATGGGAAAGCCTTAAGAGTGGGCCTTCACTGCCAATTCTGTCAACACTGACATTTTTTGCTACAGAAACAAAAGCATCTATCTACTGGTTTGGGACTCACTGAAGCCCCATTGATGAGTCTCTCTTCTTACCCTCCAAGCCAGAGATTCTGAGCTGCTCCTAGCTCTCTTTAGTAAAGTGGAAGCGAAAGTCGCTCTTACTTAATTACTCATTTCTCTTTTTCCTTGCCCATCTCCTCTTCTACCATATACTGTACTCCTACTAATTCCCACCCTATTCCCCCACAAAAACTTTGTAAAACATAAAGTGCTGTGGAAAGCAAAAGGAACTGCTGCAGGCACGTGGCACGTACTGCCCCCCCCCACTTGTTGCTGGACGCCTTGGCACCGTACGGCTTCATGCCACGTGGACATGGGCCTCCAAAGGAGCATTTTATTTTGCAGTGCTGACAAAGCATTGCTTATCTTGGCAATGAAGTCTGGAATAAATGAAACAGATGCAAAACTTGGGTTCTCTCTCCTCGCTGCTGACTAGCTCTTCTTGGTAGTCCGCAAGACTGCCATGGTTCAAATGAAAGAAAATGCTAGGCCCCTGACTGTTGCCCTCCTCAGCCTCCCACCACTTCCTTAAAAGGGACCATCCAAGACCAGAGGTTCCCTAAGATCTGACCAAGGTGGGTCCTGCTGAGAACCAGAACTGACTTAGGCACCATCTTCTCTGTTCTCAGATGTTTTCCATGAACCTCTGGGGAATTCCTGGGGGCAGAGCAGTCAACTACCCATCAGCTAACCATGCCCCATCCTATGACAGTACCTTGTTTTAAAACACTCAGTGGCTTATCCTGGGCAGACAGCCCTTGCCCGGCATCTGGCATGTCCCAGAACGCAAACTCTGGGAAGGGCAGGGGGTACAGCAAGACAGAGTTGCTTCTCCTTTGCTGCTCAAAGCCACCATGCTTCCCTTGTAGGAGGCAGAATTCTGTAATGGAGGAGAAAATGACAAGCCAGGCAGAAGGGTCAGCCTCATTGGCACATCCCAGTCCCAGCTTTACCTAAGTTAAGAAGGCAGGGAGGCACATCCATTCTCTTCCCCATAAACCCGCTTCGTACATGTTAAGCTGTTTGACCAAAGTTCAGCCACTTCCTACAAATGCCAGAGAAATGGTCATTCCTAACATAAGGCTCTCTGAACAGGCAGGAAGCAATCTTCCAATCATCAGAAGTATCTCCTTAGCCTGAATGGAACAAACCAACTCCAACAAACAACCCATGATACATAAATGAGGAAATTTGAATCTGATTGATAAATCTGATCTGACTGAACTGATATTACACAATTATTGACAATATATTTAGGTGCACAAGTGGCTACATGGCTCTTGGAGAGTCAATTTTTCTTCATTAACAAGTAGTAAAGTTTTTACTGCAATTATATGAATGAAACTTATATAGAGTAGGAAAATCCAGACACAAAAGAATATATTCTACATGAATCCATATGAAGGAAAATTAGTTTTTTAAAAAGCCTTATCTTTTAGGGATGTTTCCATATTTATAAACAAAAATATATAATGCCTATGATTTGCTTCAAAACTATTTGAGTAGGGATGGAGGGAGGTGGGGAACTTATAGATGAAACATGAATTATCCAAGTTAATGAAGCTGGATGGTAGGTAAATGGGGTTCAGTATATTATTATCTGTACTTCTGAACATGTGTGTAATTTCCAAAAATAAAAAGTTTTTAAAAATAATAAAAAGAAATGCTCCTTAAATACTTTCACATTTGAGAGCCCAACTAGGGTAACTAAGTTGTAGGTAAAAATGCAATGGTGTGTTCTTGCTAAGCAAAAACTGTGTGTGAACTTAAGAATGAGGATTCTCCTTCTGACTCACTTCCTAGAGTAATGAAAATAAAAACAACAAATGAGACCAAATTAATCTTAAAAGCTTTTGCACAGCGAAGAAAATCATAAACAAGATGAAAAGACAACCCTCAGAATGGGAGAAAATACTTGCAAATGAAGTCACCAACAAAGAATCTCCAAAACACAGACAGCTCAATGCAGCTCAGTAACAATAACAACAAACTGACACAATCAGAAAATAGGCAGAAGACCTAAATAGACATTTATCCACAGAAGACACACAGATGGCCAGCAGGCACGTGAAAGATGTTCACCATCACTGATTACTAGAGATGCAAATCGAAACTATAATGAGATATCACCTCACACTGGTCTGAATAGTCACCATCAAAAAAATCTACAAATAATAAATGCAAAGGAGTGTTTGGAGGAAAGGAAACCCATCTACACTGTTGGTGGGAATGTAAATTGGTACAACCACTATGGAGGTTCCTTAAAAAAGTAAAAATAAAACTACCATATGATCCAGCAATCCCACTCCTGGGCACATAGCAGGAGAAAACCATAATTCGAACAGATACAGGCACTTCACCCTTGCACTATTTACAATAGTCAAGACATGGAAGCAACCTAAATGTCCTTCAACTGAGGAACAGAAAAAGATGTGGTACATATGTACAGTAGAATAATAAATAATAATCTTATTAAAAATAAAATAATGCCATTTGCAGCAACATGAATGGACCTAGAGATTGTCAGACTGAGTGAAGTCAGACCGAGAAGGGACACATATGATAACTGCTTATATGTAAAATCTTTTAAAATGGTACAAATGAACTTATTTACAAAACATAAGTAGAGTCAGAGATAGAGAAAACAATTTTAAGGTTAACAGGAGAAAACGGTGGGGGGGATAAACTGGAAGATTGGGATTGGCATACAGTAATTGCTAGATATAAAACAGGTAACTAATAAGAACCCACCATACAGCACAGGGAACTCTACTCCATACTCTGTAATGACATATATGGGGAAAGAATCTAAAAAAAGAATGGATTTATGTATAATTGAGTCACTTTTGTGGTACACCTGAAACTTAACATTGTAAATAAACTACACTCCAATACAAATTTCAAATGAATACATATACACATAAACACAGAGGAAAAAATGTTTTTTTAAAAAAAAACCACATTCTCAGGGAGTGTAGGTCTCAGTGGATCATGGATGGGGGCAGGAATCTGCTTATTAGAAGGCACCTGAAACTAACACAACATTGTAAATCAACTGTACTTCAATAAAACATTTTTTAAAAAAGAATGCCCATTCTTTTCATGCTTCTATTTAATAATCATGCTTCTTTAATAATCTGAGTACAGGCTATGGAATGAGAATGTGGCTGAGCCTAGTACTTGCATGACATGTGGAAGGTGTGGGTATTAACACATTTGGAATTGGTGTGGGCACTAATGACATCCATAAGATAGGACGGTCGTCAAAAGACAAATGAAACAAGCTTCCTCTTACTCAATCTACCTACACTCCTGGGCATCCAGGATGCCCCCGGCTCACTCCACCCTCTACACCAGGCACCGAGGTGGGTAAGTGTGAACTGACCCCCAGGTCACACTCTCCGAGAACAAGGACCACGACCACTAACACAGCCTCAAACGCTGCCCAGAGCCCCGTGGGGCCAGCTGTGTTTTGGGAGTCCACAGTCCCAGCAGTGTTCTTCCATTACACATGCACAGCTCCTTTGAGGGCAGTACCAACTCCTTCACTCTTTGCAGCATCAGACATGTTGCAAGGAGCCAGAGATTCAAAAGGACTACAACCTAGGCTTTGACAATGAGTAACATACCAGTGGAAAAGGTGGAGGGGGTCACTGAAGCCAGACTGGCAGGTACAGAGAAAGAACCAGTGGACGAAGAAAGAACTTCTTGGATGAAGCAGTGACTAAGTAGCCCCCTGAAGCCTGGTAGGAATTAGCTGGGCCAAGAAGAAGGGAGCACTCTCCAAACAAAGGCTCACGATAAGAGTGGAGAGTTCCCAGGTAGTGAGTTAACTTTGGAGGTGCTGGAGATGAGCAGGAAGGCTGGACGCAACGTGCCTAGGAGTGCAGACTTCATCCTAGGACAAAGGGAGCCTCAGAAGGTCATTCAAGAAGGTGAGTGAAATGACCAAACGTGTATTTTTAAATACATTAGCTACACTGCTAAAATGGGGAAGATTGGGGGCCGAGGAGCCAGTTAAAAACCTGTGATGGGAACAGGGATGTTGATTCCAGCTTGTGGACCTGCAGAGAAGTGCACAGATCCAGGAGGGTGGAAAGCAGAGGTTCTCGTCCACAGGTGCCCAGTAAGTTCATGCTGACACTGCTCTATTTAAAACGCACAACCAACAAGGACCGACTGTATAGCACAGAGAACTCTGCTCAACATTCTGTGGCAGGCTGGGTGGGAGGAAGGTTTGGGGGAGAATGGATACATACACGTGTATGGCTGTGTCCCTTTGCTGTCCACCTGAAGCTATCACGACATTGTTAATTGGCTATACCCTAACACAAGATAAAAAGTTTTTTTAAAAAATAGTTCATGCTGAAAGGACACTGGTAAATGCTTAATTCTACAAAGCAAAGACTAAAATTCAGATGAGAACATCATGTTTCTGATTGGCCACAGAAGAGGGGAGCTGTTGGCAAAGAGAGGGGTCCACAGCTGAAGGAACCCCTTGGCAAAGACAGGCCCACTGATGCCTCCGCCAAGGGACACAGAGGGAGTGACCTCCTGGCAAAGTTTCAAAAGACAGGACCTTGTCAAATGTACTCCCACCCTGAAGGTGGGAGGAGAGATCAGACAGCCTCTTTAGGGTCAGACCAGCGCCTGCAGGGCTGTTTATGAAACCAGAGTAGAATGTTGTGCAGGAAGAGCAACAAAAAACACGGATGGGAAAAAGAAGAACTGGCTTAAAAATCAATGAGTCGCACAGAACAAGAGCCTGACCACCACGCTGCGCAGGCGGCGGGAGAAGGCTGGGGCGTGGGGAGTGAGCCTGAGGAACCGAGAGCTCCCCGTAAATAGTTCATGCTGAAAGGACACTGGTAAATGCTTAATTCTACAAAGCAAAGACTAAAATTCAGATGAGAACATCATGTTTCTGATTGGCCACATAAGAGGGGAGCTGTTGGCAAAGAGAGGGGTCCACAGCTGAAGGAACCCCTTGGCAAAGACAGGCCCACTGATGCCTCCCCCAAGGGACACAGAGGGAGTGACCTCCTGGCAAAGTTTCAAAAGACAGGACCTTGTCAAATGTAGGGTGGGAAGAGAGATCAGACAGCCTCTTTAGGGTCAGACCAGCGCCTGCAGGGCTGTTTATGAAACCAGAGTAGAATGTTGTGCAGGAAGAGCAACAAAAAACACGGATGGGAAAAAGAAGAACTGGCTTAAAAATCAATGAGTCGCACAGAACAAGAGCCTGACCACCACGCTGCGCAGGCGGCGGGAGAAGGCTGGGGCGTGGGGAGTGAGCCTGAGGAACCGAGAGCTCCCCGGGGCGCCCTCTGCTCAGCAGCACAAGGAGGAGTTTATTTTCAGGACAGAGGAAGCAAGCCAAGATGAAAGGCTTGAAATGGGAATGCAAACAGGAGAGCTTCCCCAGGCAAACTGTCTTTCCAACCCCATCTGCCACGAACAGGGCAGAGCCCCCACACCTACCTCCTCAGAGAAACAGGGAGGGGCTCCTGTGGGTCCCAAAGCCTGGAGGGGCGGCCCCAGCCACCAAAGGGTTCTCAGAACCCTCGTGGGCATCCTCCATGAAGGCCAAGCTTCCAAAAGGCCTGACAAAAGTGACACCCCCACCACCAGTCCATCTGCATGGGATAACCAAGGTCTCGGAGTCACACAAGCCCCTGTGGGCCCCTGTGATGACACAGCATATCACACGCTGATAACAAAAGCTGAAAAGTGAAAGTGAAAAAGTGAAAGTCGCTCAGTTGTGTCCGACTTTTTGCGACCCCGTGGACTATACAGTCCATGAAATTCTCCAGGCCAGAATACTGGAGTGGGTAGCCTATCCCTTCTCCAGTGGATCTTCTTGACCCAGGAATCAAACTGGGGTCTCTTGCATTGCAGGTGGATTCTTTACCAACTGAGCTATGAGGGAAGCCCTATAACAAAAGCCGAAGGAAAAACTTAATAAGGCAGTGTGTTCAGTGGACAGTCTTTCAAAAAGAAAGAAAAGAATAATAATCATGTCTGGGATGACACAATTTTGGAACCATGGACCTAAAGGATGTTGATCACAACTCCTGGTATTCCTGGTATCCCGTGCATCCCCGACCAACCCCTGGACCAGCTTCCCACAACTGGCAGCTTCACTTTTCATCACCTCCCTGAAACACAGAATGCTCCATGTGTGAAAGAAAGAGGGAGGCTCTGGGACAGCGCCCCCATGCCCCTCACCTGCCCACTTGTCTACTGTCCCATGGACAGTCAGCGATCTGAGAGCCCGTGGTAGCTGAACAGTGATTCCTCAAGTGGCCGAGTGAGGGCAGAGGCCTGAGTCCCAGAAGAACCTCTCATCCCTGGCCTGGTCCCCCCACCGGACAGAAAACAACCGGGGGAGGGCAGGAGGCAGCCACGGATGTGCTCGGCCCGTCTGAGCACACTCCTACGGTGTTCTCACCACGGAAACTGAAAGTTCACAGGGATGGACAGAGTCGGGCAGAGAGCCTGCACGCGGACGCTGACCAGCTGGGACAGCCCCCTCACCTCTGCCCTCACACACACACCTCGCTCTCCACCACCGTGTCTGAAGCAAACCACACAGTCTTTTCACCTGTGAAGAGGTCACTGTAAATCTCTAAAAACTAGGACGACTCTTCATAAACAAAGCTACAATAATATGACCGTACCTTAAAAAGTTAATTATTTATGATGTTACATATATTCATTTATGTCCTCAAGAAGCAGTCAGTTTTCTTGGGCTCCCACGACCTCTTGGAAAGAGTATAAGGGAAGAGCCCTGAGCACCTAAGAGCATCAGTCACATCAGCTACTAAAGCCTTATTTTCTTCAAGTGACACAGTGAACTTCCAGCTTTGAACACACTGGTGATCAGACAGAAAGGTCAAATGCAGCTTTTTGGGCTTCGTGCTGGGGGAAGGGCGGTAAGATAATCGGGATGATGACAGTATTATAATAGCCAAGGTGAGTACTTAATAAGCCGCCAATGTTCCAGGCACTTCACACGCCTCATGTAACTTGCTCTTCACAGCAGCCCTGTGGGGAATGTCTTTCCTCTCCCAGACACAGGAAGCCGAAGCTCAGCAGGCTTCAGCTAGCTGCCTGAGACCTCACAGGACCCGTGGCACTCGGGCTGATGCCCTGGTCTACTCCACCACAGAGCTCACGTTCTTCCCTCTGTGCCCTGTATGTGACGCACACGCTGATGCACCAATGCCCTCCAACCACGGCCTGCCATCTCACTTGCCCTGGGATATCCCCCGACTCTTCTGACACCTCTTTCCTCTCACCCCCAGAGCAGCAGGGGATCTTCTACAAGATGAGCCTCTGGGTAAAATGGGGTGTCCTTCCACGACGACTCAACCCACCTCCAGAACCCCGAGCTGAGGCACACTCACCGAACTGGCCGTCTGCCCTCACGTACAGCTCGATGACGCCGTAGGCAATGGTGGTGGGAGCTGGGATCTCCAGCACCACATTGCTGTCCCTGATGAAGTTCCCATCCTCCATCGCTGACACCTGCAGGAAGGGTGCATGCTCCCACCTGTGTGCTCAGGCTCCCCCAGGCTTCTCCTGCCTCCCATGTGGCCAGCCTAGGCCCCGTGCCCAAGAAGTGCCAGGAAAATGCCCACAGAACTGGGGGGAAAGGAGAACCAGCCAGCAGGGGTCAGGATTTAATCCTTGTCGGCCTCATGATGTCCTACACATATTCTAAAGTCAGTGGCCAACCTGTAGCACAAAGGCAAGAATCCAGAATTTGGGAGATAGTGAAGTTGGGTCTATGGTGCTGAGTAAAGAAGATAATAAATAAGACAACTTCCTATTTCCCTCATGGAGGATTATGGAAACAACTCTGAAATCCTAAGAAAATCAACGGTAAGAGTCTGACTAGGAGAACTTAGCTGAGAGCAAGATCCCCTAAGCATGTCCTCCCAGACCAGGTATGTGACACACTGTGCCATCAGATAAAACTGGGAAGAGGCCGGAAGGAAAGGGCAGAAGCAGGAGATAAGGGTGGCCAGGAAATGTCGAGTCAGCAGCAAAGCTCTCTCCTTCAGACCCTGTCACAAATCTGACTCTTGCCCACCATGGCCTGAGGAGGAGGAGAAGTGACCCAGATGATGGAGATTAGAGGCCTTTATAGCAACTTGATCTTGGTCACAGTGTGATGACTACCAACCTCCATACACCCCAGCAGGCTCCAGGCCTTTGGTGGGGGGGTCTCTGTGGACAGAAATACTGTCAGGGCCAGCTAAAGCCATCTCCCATCAGCCCTCATCACTCTGTCCAGCCTGCCCACCCCAGGGAGAGTCCAACTCCAGACCTCAATCTCCACCTCCTTCTAAATATAACATTACTGGGTCCTCTGGTATAATTTGGAAGTTACCCCAAGAAGTAAACTTTCTAAGAGCCGAGTATTAGGCACTATGGAGGGGAGGCAGTTTGGGGTCAGAGCCTCCTGTTCAGTTCCACTGAAGCTCAGGAGTCATTTGGTAGGACTGTAACTTAATCCAGAAACATCTGTTTATGTATATTAAAGACACATGTGCTGATCTTTACCTTTCCTAACTCAATCCACTGGGGATTTAAGGCAGCTCATCTCAAAATCATCATTTCTGAGACCCTTGATTCTTAGGGGCTCTAGGAGTTATCTGTGTGTTGGCCTGGCCAGTGCTCATTTGATCCATTTTTTGAAGGGGGAAGGCACCTGATTCACCCTGGTATGCCAATCTAAGCATCCCATCACCCTGGCCTTGGGTCTGCTTCAGGAACGGGCAGGGCCCGGGATGGTCCAGTGCCTGCCTGCCCTGAAGCACTCTTTCCACTAGGGATGGGGTCAGATGAAAGCCAGGAGCTGCCGCCCCATGAGCTTATATGAGAGGGAATCCACCTTCAGAGAAGGCAGCTCGCCGGCTTCTCAAGTCCTGGATCCAGCAATGACCGAATAGATCACTCCAAATGTTTCAGTTACAGAAGCCAAGCAGTTCTTTCTTGTTTAAACCAATTTGAGTTGGATTTCTGTTAACTCCCTCCAAGAGTCCTGATGATTGGAGACCCCACTCCCGGAGGGCCCTGACCCGGTGCCTCCCTGGCCAGGCACGTACCTGCACAGTCTTGGTCTGGATCCCCACCATGCCGCCACACTTCTCCTCGATCTGGACGTGCTCAGATATCACGCACTTCTGCGTCGTCACGATTTTCTGCGTCAGGACGCACAGGACCTCGTTCTTCCTCTCCAGCACCTGCTGCAGTACCGGGTTCTTCAGGTTGATTGTTCTGAAAGAAGAAAAGGCCGGTGAGTGGCCTCGGGGAGGTGGATGCAGCGGGAACTGTTGCTTCTTGTCCGGCTGGCGGCTGAGAAGCAAACAGGTGACAGCCAGCATCCTTTATTTCCTGGTGCTGAGAGGGGGCCAGCTCATCCAGAGAGGCAGAAACCAGAGTCTCCTGAGGCCACCTCAGAGCTGCCAGGCCTCCAGAGAAAGGCTGGCACCACAGGGATGGGGTTCCTGTCAAACAGCCATGCTGACTGTCACAGAGAAGGAAAGCCACCCAACAGGTACAGGAGCTGTAACCCATCTGCTCACACCCTGGGAACTCCACTCTGTCACTTAACCAGAGGCCAAGGGGCCACGGACATCACAGGCGTGGGCAATAAATACAGGGTGACTGTGGGGGCATGCTGACCAGTGCTTCTCGCAGAAGAGAAGGGGACAGGCTTGAGGTACAAATAGCAGGGGGAAGATTGGATTTTAATTTTAAAAGTATTTTTTAATCTGTCCAGGAAGGATATGTAATCTCTTAGAAGGGATTTTAGAAGGGCTTCCCAGTTAGTTCAGTAGTAAAGAATCTGCCTGCCAATGCACAGGGCACAGGAGACGTGGGTTTGATCCCTGGGTCAGGAAGATCCCCTGGAGGCGTAAACGGCGATCCACTCCAGTATTCTTGCCTGGGGAATCCCATGGATTCTCCAGGTGCCTAGTGGGCTACAGTCCATGAGGTCGCAAGGAGTCGGACACGACTGAAGGGATTGCACATGCATGCAGAAGGGATTTTACATCATTTTACAGATGGGGAACTGAGCCCAGTAAGGTGTGGCCTGCCCAGGTTTCCCAGCAGAGACTTGGGGCTCCCAGGTAGCTACTCTGGGGAATTTCAAGAACAAGGTCAATTCCCATCTACAGAAGGTGATATGCTGATTAGAAGCAAATGATGAAGTGCCCACTCTGGAAGTCCTGTTCAACGCTATGAGCCTATGGGGTGGACAGGAAGAAAACCAGATTAGAGTTAGTGGCAGCACAAGAACAATTACAGTGTTCACCCTATGCGTTTAAACAGTCCAAGGTGAGTCACCTCCAAAAGCTTGGCCCCATCTCCAATCCATGCAGTGGCTGTCACCCCACCCCCCAGGCAGACACAGCTTCTCCAGGCTTCAGAAAGCATCCCCAGAATGGAGGCAAGTAGCTGGAAAGATCCTGTCTCCATGTAAAAAGCTGCCTGGGCTGGAAACAACCCATAGCCATCAACAGATGAACGGATACACCAATGTTGTCCATGCATACAATGGGACACTATTCAACCACAGAAAGGAAGCTGATGTGCTATAACACAAACAAACCTTGAAGACATTATGCTGGATGGAAGAAGCCAGTACAAAAGGAGAAATATTGGATGATTTTACACGTATGAAATATTTAAATCAGGCAAATTCTCAGCCACAGAAAGTGGATTTAAGGTTACCAGGGGCTGGGGAAGAGAAGGGGGGCGGTGGTTCTTGTTTGATGGCTACAGAGTTTCTCTGTAGGCTGATGAGAAAGTTCTAGAAATGGATAGTGGTGATGACTGCATGACAGTGTGAAGGTACTCAAACCACTGAACTGTGCATCTAAAAATGGCTAAAATGATAAAATTAATGTTATATTTTATCACAATTTAAAAAAGTAAAGACACGTCCATCGACAGATGAATGGATAAAAATGTGGCACATATATACAATGGAATATTACACAGCCATAAAAAAGAACGGAATTGGGTCACGTATAGAGACATGGATGGGCCCAGAGTCCGTCATACACAGTGAGGTAAATCAGAAGGAAAAACAGCTATCATATATTAATGCATATATGTGGAATCTAGGGGCTTTCCTGGTGGCTCAGACGGTAAAGAATCTTCCTCCAATGCAGAAGACCTGGGCTCAATCCCTGGGTCAGGAAGATCCCCTGGAGAAGAAAATGGCAACCCACTCCAGTATTCTTGCCTGGAAAATCCCATGGACAGGGAATCTAAAAAATGGTACAAATGAACCTATTTGCAGGGCAGGAATAGGGATACAGACAAAAAGAAGAGACGTATAGACATGGGCCGGGGATGGGATGAATTGGGAGACTGAGACTGACTTATATGACTGCCATGTGTAAACAGATAGCTAGTGGAGAACTGCTATCTCTGAGCTATCTCTGTGAGCTGAGCTAGCTCTGTGTTCTGTGGTGACTTAGATGGGTGGGACAGGGGGTGGGGGTAAGAGGTAGAGCCCAGAAGGGGGGCACTTCACAGATATGTATGTAGAGACAGTCAATTCACTTGGTTGCACACGGGCTTCCCAGGTGGCACTAGTGGTAAAGAACCCGCCTGCCAATGCAGGAGACTCAAGAGACATGGGTTTGATCCCTGGGTCAGGAAGATCCCCTGGAGTAGGAAATGGCAACCCCCTCCAGTATTCTTGCCTGGGAAATCCCAAGGACAGAGAAGCCTGGTGGGCTACAGTCCATAGGGTCGCAAAGAGCCAGACACAACCGAAGCATCTTAGCATACATGCATGTATGACACTGTAAAGAAATAATAATAACAAAGACATGGGAAAAACTGTTCAATCTCGGTAGTGGTCAAAGAAATGCAAATTATAACAATGTTTCACACATATTAAGTAATAAAGATAAATCGACAACAACAAAAAAGCTGCCCAGGGCTCCATTTCCAGGAAGGCAGATAGAGCAGGGGGAACCTGCCTGGCGGGGGCTCCAGCTAGGTGACTGGGAGTGAATGGCTCCACCTCGTATCTTGTTATCCCAGTGGATACACTGATGGTAATGCTGCCTCTTGCTGTGATCGCTGTAGGGTTTACTCGAGAGGCCACATGGTGAGCAGTCAGTATGTGCCAAGCAGACAGTCAAATGCCCCCCGAATGCTGGCTGGCTCTGGCCACTATCCTGTATATCCCCCTAACCGAGGCCCCCAGAACAAAGCCCCAGGGTGTGCACTTGATGGGAATGACGGGCAGTCAATTGGGTCTCGGGTGCTTTTTCACATTGCTCATGCCCTTAGAACCTCCAGTGGACACATCTCATCTCAAATCCTCCCCCCAGGCAATGAGGCCTTTAGCTCTGACCCCTGCCTCTGGGGACCCCACCTTCCTGCCGTCTCTCTGCTCCTTAAACACACCAGGCACAGGCCTACCCCAAGGCCTTGACACAATGTCCCCAGGGTCCCCACACCTGACACAAGTCACTTCTCAGGGAGGCCAGTGTTCCTTGTTCACCCAGTACAGAGCAACACCCGCTCACACTGTGACACCCTAGCATGTGGACATGACATTCACATACTCTGGAGAGCACACTTCCACAGGACACTCTTTCAGGTCCTTTGTTATCTGTTCACTGCCTGTCTCCTCCCTCTAGACCAGTAATCCCCAACCTTTTTGGGACCAGGGACCGATTTCATGGAAGACAATTTTTCCATGGACCGGGGGTGGGGGGAGATAGTTTCCAGATAGTTAAAGCACATTACATTTATCGTGCACTTTATTTCTAATCTAATACCTGTATCTGACAGGAGGTACTGGCCTGTGGCCCAGAGGCTAAAGACCATGAACGTGTTAGTCACTCAGTCATGTCCAACTCTTTGTAACCCCATGGACTGTAGCCCCCCAGACTCCTCTGCCCATAGAATTCTTAAACTCATGGAAATAGGGGTTGTGCATGCCAAGGGCACAGTACATAGTTTTGGAATAAATGAATAAATAAAACATGGGGTGTTTTTTCCTCTCTGTGTATCTGCCTTAATGAACATGCAAATATGTGAGCAGGTATGCATCTGTGGGAAGAGAGAAAATAGGAAGACGGAGGAACTGGAGGATAAGCAGTGTGGTTTAGAGAATGACGTGTAGCTGTGACTCTTCCTGAGAGACTGCGTGGGGCCTACAGGCACAGATTTGAAGATGAGGGCCAGCATATTCACCAGCAGAACGTACACTTGAACCAGGCCTTGCTGACCTTCTCCTTCTGTTGCACACCATCTCCTATTCTAGCCAATTCTTGAAAAGCAATTCCCTCAATTACAGCTCAGGTTCTGGCTCCTCCCCATTTGAAGAGCAGTACATCAGAAGCAGCTACTCTCACCCACAAGCCCAGAACTAACAGCAGAGGAACAGCTGAAGGCTGCCTTGAGGCACGTGAAGTGACTCTGGTGGGTTGGAAATCACTGCAGTGCTTCATGGCTTAAACGGATCCACTAGAGTGCTTGATGTTGCCTTAACCAATGTTCAACTGTTCGAAAAGAAAAACCTCTGGGACTTCCCCGGTGGTCCAGTGGTTAAGAATACACCTGCCAATGTACTGTATAGACACAGGTTCGATCCCTAGTCTGGGAAGATCCCACGTGACACAGAGCAACCAAGCCTGAGCACCGCAAGTGCTGAGCCTGAGCTCTGCAACAGAAGCTACCGCATGAGACGCCCACGCACTGCCACGCGCTGCAAGCAAAGCCCCGCGTGGTGCTGAAGACTCAGTGCAGCCAAGGATAAACACACAGATGTGGTTGCTTAGTCACTAAGTCAGATCCCATGGACTGCAGCCCGCCAGGCTCCTCTGTCCATAGGATTTTCCAGGCAAAAATACTGGAGAGGGCTGCCATTTCCTAAACCTCAGCCTAGACCACCCAAGACTCCATTGCTTAATATGCCCACCTCCCTCCAGAACCCCCACCTCAAACGTCAGAAAGAGGAGGGGGAAAGGTCACCTTTCCTTAAACGTAACTTCCTTATGCATCTGAGAACAGAACAGTCCTGAGATGCTTGTGGGGACCAGCCTAGCACCTGGGAGGCTTCCTGCCCTCAGAATAGCCTTGCGGGGTGACCTCACCATGGGACAGGGAACAGAAGCCTGGCCAAAGACAGGGTGCACCTCCCAGGCTGAGACTGGGGTGACTGGGGAGGAGAGTGTCCCAGGGCACATCCTCCTGCAGGCCGGATGAGAGCTGCTCAGGGGACAGGCAGGCACTTCCCA